AGGGAAAGAAACGAGGAAGAGTGTGTAAAATTTACGAGGCGTTAAAAAAATGAATAACAACGGCGTAGAATGCGGGGCAATAAAAGAGATGGCAGGAAAAATTGCGAACGCGGACGGTAATTTAGCGTTGAAGATACACGCCGGAGCGGTTAATACGCGAAACATGCGTGTGGACAGGTGAGGTCGGTGTTCACGAGGGTGTACACAGTGTATATCATAAACGTGAACCGTTAAAACCCGTGGGAAAGAAACGGGAATAATAACCACGCAAATTTTTATTCGGCGGTTATCGGAAATTCAGCCACGGAGCGATAAATGTTCGAATAGTTCCACTACTGTATGCCTCTAAATCATTGTAGTTATTTTTCAAGGATGGTGGAAACGATATTGAACTCTGCGTGTTTGTGTGTCCGTAAAGATGGAGTGTTGTGTAAAATCTGATAATCGTAATTACTCTATTGTTGTACGTATGGGATAATGATTGTTGAGTCACGATGAATTACTATGATTGTTTATGGTCTGTAAACAAAATACCGTTAATAAACATCGGAGATAGTTGAACGGCTTTTACAACAGATGGAGGCTCTGTTAAAAAATTAAGACCATATTATGCTGCATATTTACTATTCTCAGCAAGTCTTTTTATTTACAAATTTACACAGAATATAGCAATTCATTTCTAGTCAAAAGATAAACATACCTTTAGATTTATTCTATAGTTACCAATACCTAAACTACCAAGATTCTTGCCTCATACACGATTCCCTACAATTTACCTAATCTCTTCCAAATCTTTTCCAAAAATCTCATAAACCAATCCCAAAAGCAGACTCACCGTCAATGCGGGGGCCTGCGTTTAGCCTTATCCAGCACTATCAGATCCAGTTCGCCGTCCACAGCAGGTTCCTCAAACTTTATCTCGAACCTTCACCTTCTCACTTCCGATTAACTCGAACCGCGCGATTCTTGAACCCGTGTTAAAACCCAGTTTTATTTCAGGAACTCAAACACGAACGGAAATCGAAAACCAACAACACGCGGATGGAATATCAGAATCTCGATGAGGAAGCAGCCTTATAGGCCAAGACAGGTGAAACAGCCCGGGAACCGGCGTACGATGGCCGATAGCCGGCTATCAGAGCGGATTACAGCCCGGAGGATGTAACGAGGCTGCGAGGAACGCGTGGACCACCGTGGCGAACTCGGCCGCGATGCGACGGACGCACATTTGGCAGCGTCGTTATCAGTCGCGGTCCGACGATTGGCTGTGTATCGGAGCCTGCGCCGGGACGCCGGGAGAGAGGGTGGAGATGGCGGTGGAGGAGGTAGGAGGGTTGGTTGCTAACCCCCGTGCTGGGCTCCGGTATGAAGCGGCTCCTTAGAGGCGGGATCATCCACCAGGGTGGATCTTTCCTCTCCCTTCCTGCGTGTCTCTCCCTCTCTGTCTATCTTCGTCTGACCTTTTTCCACTGGCGAACTCGGTGTCCTTGTTCCTTCTCTCTGTCTCCCCGTGTTACCATCTCGGTCCGCGCTTCGCGAAGGCTCGATTTCACTTTTTCCAACGTCCTCGCGCGTATCCGCGTCTCTTTTTCATTTCGTTGGGATTCAGCATCCTCGTTGGGGTGACCGGTCTCTGTAGAGAAAAGTTTCTTCGTCTTTGGGGCTGTTGCGTTTTGTTCTTTCTTTTTTCTCTTCGACATTTTCGGTAGCCTTTTCATCATGTTGCTCCTGTGTTTGTGGAGTTTTATGTAGTTTGCGTTGATACAGCTTTGGGATGTTAGGTGATTGTTTTTTGGTCTGGAACATTTCAGAAATGAAACTTTTGATATGAAAATAGAAAGACGTTTGAATTCCACGCTTATAATTACGACTTAATAGTATTTACAGAATATTAAAAATAGACGAAGAACGGTTGGTAACCATTCCAAATTGAGCATCGAATTCACTGCTGTTAAGTATGATCACACAAGAAATTACCAGTTTATTGCTCAGGAAAGTAATTACTTTTACTACCAATGTATAAAACCATGTTAATTCAGGACATTTTACCTCTATATTTCAGATCTAATATGCAGTATAGCAAGTCCAATGGTTGATGGAATATATTGGACACAAAATAGAAATACTAGTACAACGATGAAAACCTGAACGACTTCTATAATTACGTTCGACGTTTAATACGTGACAAAAATCGTCGAAGGAAAAGGAAGATTGTAAACACTGTGTCTGATGGGTTTCTACCGCAGTCCTATATGCTCCAAGAGAGAGTACATACTTGGAATTGAATGAAACATAATTAACCGTATTTAATGAAATGAAATTAATCTTGATTAATTCTTCAGTTTTAAACATTTTTCTTGAATTAATACAAGCGAAGATTGCAAAAGGTCATTATATGGACAACATAAGATAGGGATCAGATTGTGAATCATATCAACGATTGACAACTATATGTCTCCGTCTCGCAAATTATGACTACATAATTTCTTTGTACAAGTTAGTATTTGTAGAAGGTATTGCTAATCATTGTATACCTATTTATAATATTATAATCGTTATTTGATAATAATATTGAAGAAATTTCTCCTGTCGTAATCCAATTTGCATTGGAATCGTTTCTGAATAGGTTCATTAAGAAGAAGTGGAGGTTTTCCGCATATACCACAATGAAAATTGTTGCATATGAGACACCAAGCTCTAAGTTTTGGCATAGGTTCAAGATGATTGGAACGATTGAGATTTTACTACACTTTAATGGGTCTTTATAATAATCCAATATTTCCAATCCAATGTCTTTCACCCCTGATATACATGGATTTATTTATCGTGAATGTATAGTTAAAAGGACGTCTAATTGTAACTAATTCTCTTCTTTCTAATTAACTCCTTAAATTCATAACAAAGTTGATTTTAAAAAAAATGAATTCAAGCTTATTTATAAATTTGACAACATAAAAAGAAAGGTCAAAACGACTATCCAATGTCATAACTAAAAGAGAGCGTTACCCAGAAACACAGACATTTCGACCAGCTAATAACATTCCCAGGACAACTAGTAGATTCGATTAATATATCAATGTTATCTCGCGATCTTTATGCAAGGTCACGGCGCGTGTGTTCCCGCCCGTCCACCGGGTATCTGCTTGTACGAAAATTATCTGATCCGCACCGTGCAGTAACAACGGGGGCGCGACACGTCGGACACGTGGCCAGGGCACGGTTTTCAAAGGGTGCTGGCGGCCAGCCACCAGATATATTCGAATGTATCACCGATAACGATATATCGTTATCGTCGAATTCGTTAACCGAATACGATCAACGTGTATTCTCGTGTCATCGATATCAATCCCTCGTTTTTGAAATCATGTTACCCACGTGTGCGAACGTGCCCAAAGGTTCCATTGTTTTCTGTCGTCTACCATGATCGAGGTCTTTCGCATCCAAAATTTTCGTGATCTTGAAATCACTTAATTAAAATTTATGTACACTGTAATTTAGAAATAGAGTCAGAGTGAAAGAGGAGATTGTATAAGTAATCTTATCAAAAATCTTTTGTTATAAATTTTGAATACTATTCTTATTCAGCTTTCAGTGAAATTACATATAAATACATATATACCATAACTCCAATATCTAGAAAGAATACAAGGTACTGTAAGTATTACTTCTCTTACAGATAAATAATGTATATTAAGCTTAATTCTTTGAAATTAATTTCAGATCATCAACCTTTGCTATTCTACCATATCTCCGAATGTGATTCACCTCTACCTACAAGAAAATGACTTGGTCAGTCATATCTCGCTCTACCCTCCTCGCAGAACTTCAAGGATTAATCTTCCCAATCTTTACTCCGGTCTTCTTTATTACACCGTATTTCACTTCTTACTGTCCTGCCTCTCGATACCTTCGATGGACCCAATGGTCGCAATTAAAAGTGAGGCGAGGGTCATAGCGAGCGTACCGATTACGTGGAAGCGATTGACGATCGCCGCGGCCGGAAGTAGCACGGATCCAGCGTGGTTCGGACACGAAAACGCACTCACCAAACGGGATACAAAAGGTTCGATGTTTCTCGCACGATTGACACCGTTCCTTGCTCGACGATCAGAGGCTTCATGCATGAACGACGAGCCACGGGTAGACATGGCTCGTGATTTCCACCGGAAACGAACTGGCCGAGGGTGATGGTTGAAATGGAGGAAAACTGGTCGACCTGGGACCAGTCCTTAACATCGATTCTTTTACTCGATTATTCACGAAGTACAAATTAAACGGCGAAGAAATCCTTTCTTCAAGAAAATCGAAAGGAAGGTTACAGAATATACATGGTGCCGGAAGTAGCTTGGATGATATAGAAAAGAATAATGCAAGCAACCAAAATAGGCTTCTCAAGGTAGATAATCGGTGCAGTCCGAAAATGTTTTATGTCTTTCTCTTTTTCCCTCTCTTTCGCTGAATTAGGATGATCCGTATTGTGGTCAGCAATCACGAACGGCCAAGTATAGTAGATAGAGACCGAAAACGAGTCTATCGGCATTTAGCCGGGTTTCGTGAATGTAAACTAGGCGTTTCCTGCACGTATCGTACAAAGTGCTCGATTCGCTGGTCTTTTTTCACCAGGCCGATCGATAATGCCATTGCAAACACCCTGTATGTGCTCGGTTAATGTTAATGGCAGGGGCTGGCTCGGGTGAACGGTGTGGGTTGCCCCTTTGCCCGTGAGTTAGAGCTTCCTGAGGCTTTCCCCGCATCCACCGAACCACCCTCGCCAGCTCGAGGCCCGTGCCTGGCTAATGGTAACGCCAGGAAATATCAAAAGTCGTCTCCGTTACTATACTTTTTTACTTTTCCCTTGTCTCTTCTCTTTTCTTGTCATACAAGACATCGAAGTCTTTGTACCCTGAGCTTTTTCTTTGGTTCTTCCTCTCTTTTTTATTGCTCGATACGATAAAACCTCGTCAAAGATTAAGGCACGGGTTCGTTAAGATCTTAGAATATTTAGGATAAATTTATTCCTTTTTTCATTACAATAAATAATTACATATCAATATCACTAGTAATGTACAAATGTGTAAAAATATTGATGTACATTAATCCTTATTAAGAACTGGAGTAAAGCGTTGACAATTTGGAAGAATTTGGAAGGGAGTATCTGTGTTTATTTCTAATATATATATAGAATAGTATAAGAATATAAAATCACTATAAGAAATATAGTGATTATTTATTTATATTTCTTATTATTTTATTAATTTTTAATTTATAGGGGTATTTTAAAGTGAAGACAATTAAGAATACGAGTTTATCTTCGCCGTTAGTGAAAACGGTTAAATTTTAATGGTTTAATAAGAAGATATGACTGTATGAATTTTTTTGTTCGGTCATAAAAGGAATTTTTACGAGAAGGATCGGTTACCGTAACAAATTTGCTGGTTTCCCTTTCATTGTTCTTCTGGTTGGTTTTCATCGAGTTAGCCGCGAGACCAGAAAGTAATATATTAAAGCAGCCTTGATCTACAACGATACCGAGCAGCGGTTAACGAGGTTATCATCGGTAACACGATCGTTGAAATGATAAAAAATGTATCTAACTCCGGAGAACAAATGTAATCACTGCTTGTCACGAACACAATGCATTCAACAGGTTAGTGCTGCATATTAAAAAGAGTTTATTCGCATGCTTATAAATCGACCCCGACATTCTGGAGAAAGATTTCTCTCGACTGCTTGATGAAAAGTTTCCCATTCCTGTTAAAAATCTAGAAAGACGGGAATATAGCAGGAAACGAACAATTTTCGTTACTGATCGTTGGTTTTAATTTTACGCATTATTTATCTATTGATTTTTAATACTTGTAATTGTAGAATGACATCAAACGTGTCTTGGGATTCTACAGCAACACCAACCAATTACAAAATCAGCAAAGTGACATCAATTGAAAATTGGAAGATGGCGCAAACAAAAAACCCACCATGTGACATGAATCGTAAGTGGCTTCACGTTATAAGAAATGCTCTCCTATGGGCCACATTCGCGTGATAGATTACAAATGAAGCAGTATTGTTAAAGCACATATTCGCAGCTGTATAAAATCTCTTCGAACTGTATATTTTTTTTAAATTTCAGCTCTCATTCGGACATAGTTGCACCAAGAAAAGCTTTTGCTAAGAAAGGATTACGAAAATGAACGAAATAGAATTGCACCACCCATCTAACCCCAATCATGAACCACCCCAAATCATCGTTCATAGTCCAGCATAAATCCGGTGCCCCTTAATTGGAAACAATGGCTCGACGAGGATAGATTAGAGTGTTGAAAAGGCGTGCACAATCGCGGCACGCTTCTGCCGCGCGCAGATTTCACCCTGGGGAATTGTCGATATCGCGTGATTTAATTTGTTACAATTAGGGCAAAGGGTCCCTTAGGTGGGACAGCCAGAATGCCCGCCAAAAGAGAGAGAACAAGAGAGAGCGCAACTAATAGAGGGAGTACGAACGAGTTCACCGCGCCCTGCTATTAATATCAGTTAACGACCTGATATGATCGCTCGTCTATACTTGCAGACAGCCTGCCATCGGTGGGTTCAAGCTATGGGGTCGGACTATGTGTTGGATCTATGGTTTTGACCACGGTTCACGCCGTCATCGATCCACTGAGTCACTGGTTAAAATCTATACCAGCTTTTCGATTAGCACAATTCGAAAGAGATTGCGGTAGAGTCACCTGAAGAAGAACAAAATTGCATTAAAAATCTGAGCTAATTAAGGATCTAAATCAATCGAGATGTTGATTCCTATCATCGCTAATAAATAACATAGGTTCAGAATTAATTTTAAATTACAGAAAATTAAAAACCACAAAATATGATTGACATATAGACTTTCATTGCATTATGTTGTAACCGGCTATAAGGTCTCGCTAGAGACTCTTAACTCGGAAATATCAATTCCACTGCTACTTTTATTTTTGTACTCAAATCAACAGTAATTTGAGTTGAACGAAGACCAATTGACCGATAGTGTTTTCTAGATAGCATGCGTTTTCTACAAACGCACGATTTTTGGCTAAAATGAAGTATTACATGAAAAATATGAACGTTAGGAGGTCCAGAAACAATATTAGGATGATCTTTAATGTTGACAGGACGGTAAATATATGGCGACAAACCGTAAGAGGGATTTTGTTACCATCCAGCCATTATTTGTACATCCAATTTAATCAGAGCCGTAGTCACGCGTAATTGACGTGTTTAAAAAAGTTTATAAATTATTACACTTATTGTTAATAAAAAATTGTTCATAACGTAAATTTATAACAGAGAAAAATTTAATAAATTATTGGCTATTACTTGAATTTATAACAAACTTATGTTAAAATGTAGCTATAATTTTCAAAAAATTTATAAATTATTGCACCGATTGTTAATAACAAATTAATATTGTTATTAACAAATTGTTCGCAACGTATATTTATAGTGAAAGTGAAAAAATTAATAAATTATTGGCTACGACAGCGGAAAATTAATAATTAATAAAATCCGCGAAGTTCAAAAATTTCTGATCGAGGTGGAAGACTCGGCCGATCGGCGGCTATATAAAGGGCGACGCGACGAGGTATAACTCATTTGTCAGTTCGACTTCGGAAGTGTAACATCTAATTTTCATAGTGCGCGAGGGGTGGGGGTCCGAAGTGAGGTTAGGGATAGCTACCCCACCCTATTAAACAATTTACTAATCATTTTTTTTTTGTTTTCAGGTATTAATTTTTCTTTTATTTCAGGATTAATTATTTTTTATTTTTTCAGGTTTTAATTATTTTTTTTTTAGTAATAAGCTAGCGATAAATTAGTTATAAGTTAGTTATAAATTAGTTACAAAGTAGTCTTTAATTAAATATAAGTTAATTATTTATAATTTATATATAATTTATATATAATTCATATATAATTTATGTATAGCGTTAAACATTATTGTTAAAATTGAGATTGATAAAATAGTTTATTTATGTTATGATCTTCGTCTCATGATATAGAGTGGTTGAAATATGAAGAATGATTAAGAATCAATTATGTAAGACATCTGTTTGTTCTCACCTTGAGCAGAATAACAGGAAAACATTTAAAATACCGATTGAAATTTTGTACTACGAAAATATTATGCTACACTTTATAGTAATATATAATAAAAATGTATAATCACTTGAAATTATAATTTCCAAAACTACAAACGTAACTCGTGATTATTATAATTCTAACAATATAACGAACGGAGTTATAAAGTAAAATAATCTTTATATTTTACATTTATATATTTATATAAGAAAGTCTGTTAGTTCTATTTTAAATTATATTTTTTAAATACACCATAATGTAATAATTAATTTCTATTTCTATTGAAATTGTCTATAGTGTTATCCAACATGTTTGTATGTTCAATCAGAAAAATTGTATTCCAAGAAAAATAAATTAAGCATAAAGAAAAGATAATTTCTGTTTTCTTTTTTTCCACCTTATTAACAACTATAACACAGACCAGTTATTTCTACGTAATGATATATCAACTTTTAGTATTTTTATTTCAAATTTATTTTCCATTATCTTTAATATATCGCTACATGAATAAAAGTAGAAACCTGTTTTACCTTATTCAATAAGTAATCTCAATACGCACCTAATGCAACCCGCTATACCGCGCTATTACCTTCAATACAATAGAAAATCCAAGCGACTTTAGTCAGCGCCATCTATGATTTTGGACCAGATGAGCAGAAAAGTAATAGGAACATAGAATGCGCAAGGAGGTCGTCTAAACCTCATCACGTGACAGACAAGATCAGCAGACGGTTCGAAAAGGACAGAGTAGCTCAGGCAGGGAAAATTCACAAATAACTCAATTTCTGCAAATAATTTATGAACTTTTATAATCTCATCGTAAAGCTGAAGCTCTGAACAACATTCTTATATAACTTTTGTACATAATTTGTTGCTAATTTGCTTGTCATTAATAATTATTTCATGGCGTGGGTAATTTGAAAACAACGCCGAGAATAATTATTTGTTAAAATAATTAATTATGCTCAAAACCAGAAGAAAAATATGGTCAAAGGTATTATGAGAAGATGCGCAAGAATATTGTCTTTAAAATGAATGCATAAAAGTCAGAAAAGAATTACTTGAAAGACAGTTATTAATGAGAAACCATTGACAAATTCGGCAATATTTCGAACACGCCATGAAATAATAATTAAGAATCAATTAATTAAGAAGAAATTAATATCGAAAGTTATATGAGAAAGTTCGCCAATGATCTGCCTTTACGATGCAATTATAAAAGTTTATAAATTAATTGCAGAAATTGAGTTATTAGTTAATTTCCGCAGCCTAAGCTACTCTATCCTTTTCTAAACATCTTCTGTTCTCATCTATCACGCCATCTTGTTTTAGACGACTTCTTCTCGTATCTGTGTTCCTACTACAAAGTCCAAGCTTCGAGTCCGAAATCATAGAAGACGCTGACCCATTAGGGCTGTATCAACGGGTACCATTAGACGTATATTGAAATTATTTTTTGAACAACAGAATATACATGATACATATATGTATGTCAAAATATTTTTATTTTCTCTGTTTTTTTGGCCAAAGCGAAGTATTAAACAAAGAGTAAAAACGTTCAAAAATTCATTCTCATCATATAAGTTATGTGGGAGATTATTTGTTAACAACTTTATATTAAAACCTCATTCATATTTATGTATCTTAGCATCGAAACTGTTTCAAATTAAAAGTGATTCAGAAAAATTTCTTATAATTTTGCGATTAGTATAAAAAAGTCTATGAAAACATACATGTTATGCATATAAAACATAGGATCTATTGGGAGATGATGTTGGTGTCAATTACGCGTAACTACGGTCCTGATGAAGCCGAATGTGGGAACAATGGCTGCGTGGTGACAACATTGGAAAACATCCTAATATTGTTTCTGGATGATTGCTTCTTCAGGAAAGCCTACAGAATACGCTACTGTGCAGCAAATACGTGTCATATAAAGAACGTTTTTTAGAAATGCAAAAATAATGCGTAGAGAATACATACACGTGGCTTATTATTAAACTTTGATGAGCAATTATATAACCTCTGGACACTCTCACCTAAATTGTAAGTCAACAGTGAACCTCATAACCTTCGTACTTTTCACATAATACTTTATTTTAACCAAAAATTGTGCGTTTTTAGAAAAACTCGTAATTATCAAAAACCAGCAAAGCAATTTGGTTTGAGGATTCGTATTCAGGTAAGTTAGCTCTACAAAAATTACCCAATGGATATTACAGATCAAAAATCGGATTGAACGGTGTTATGAAATGAATAATACTAGCAGCTGTTATTAAGTTGTAATTTTATTTGTCGATATCAGTAATAATAATATACAAAGCTTTACATAACCAAACTTCTGTGAGAAATTGTACATATTTTCATAATCCTGTTTTTTCAGAAAATTATTGTCGACTCTCTCGTAACGAAACCAGCTGGAAGCCAATATCAAAGACATAAGAATCGAGGCCTCCCTGTCAAACCCCATGGATATAGGAAAAGCGGCGTCGGATACAAGTAGAGAACAGCCGATAACAATAGGCGAGGGCCGTGGTCTATCTAGCAGGCATCCGGGCCAACGTCGAAACGAGGCTGGTGCCGCGCGCGGATTACCATAAGCATTCATATATGCAGCGGCGCATTATACTTGCATACCCGGAATAAAGGTGGCCGTGTCGACGCTCGTATTTGACAGCAGTCGCAGGTATATGTATTGCAGCGGCTGGCCGGCCGGTCGGCCACTTACTTACGTGTACCGGACCGCCTTCATGAGTCGCTGGCACGCGAACCTGATTGACTTGTAGATGAGGCGACACAGTCGATATACGCCAAGAGTCGACCGTCCGACTCTGAAATCCCCGTCATGGCTACCGATGCCCGTGCAATTCTGGCTGCCCCTTCCCTATCGGTCTATATGCATTGTTGGAACCCAACGAAGGATATCTATATATCTACATTCCAATTATATTTTATAACATAATAATTTAATTTTCAGAATCTTCTTGGAAATGGTACCGTGGTATTAATTTATGGATAATGGGTGTTTACTTCTATACTATTACAATTTGGTGAAAAATATACAACGTGATCTATATCTTACAGTAACAATTGAAACGCGTATCAAAGTTTTGAAGAATCAACTTAGTTTTATTTCAAACCAAAGATAAAATTTATTCTAAAGAGTGGTTAGTATAGTATAGTAAGAATACTAATAAGAAATTCGAGAAATTTAAAAATTCAATATCATTGTTTTGCAATAGGTGCATTCGATGTGACTGGACTTTAAATTATTCACAATGCGAAGAAATATATAAAATAACACAATGTCATGTAATTTTAAGAATAACACAAGGAATCATTCTTCTTCTCTTACGTTCTTTACATGCCAAGTTTTAAAGGTAACATTAAATTATTTTTTTGCTTTATTAATAGATTATCTAAACTTCGTAATTGAAAAATCATTCGAAGCTCCTTGCATCTGTCTAGATCACAAGATGTCTTGAGAGTATCAGCAGTCCATGGGGTTTTTACACAGTAGCCACGCACCCCTACAAGGCGCTCCCGTCTCTCTCTTCTCCACTCTTCCTCGTTGGCCCACCTCTTTGAACGTTCCCTCGCAGCCACCGACCGTTATCTAGTTAATTAATCTCCGCCGACGGCGGCAGCCGACTAGCAGGGCGGCAAAACTCCCACCGTTTCTGCAGCCGTAACGAGCCACGACAACGAAAGTGTCGGGCACCACCCCCTTCGTTCACCCCACATTCGAAACTGTTCCCACCTTCGAACTGCGAAATTTTAATCACTGTAAAAGAACTTGAATGAGATTTACCAAAGGGGGCAGTCGAAAAGTGGTTTAAGAGAGCGAATGGGGGTTGATTTTGGAAATAAACACGGCGTTAAGATTTGGAGATAGAGAAACTAATCGCTTTGAAGAAGATCGTAACGTATTGTTTCCGAATAAATATTTGGATAAATCGTTAAACGTAATCTTTATATTTTTCATCAGAAAATTCAATAAGAACGAGATTGTCCAAAATGGTAATTTTCAGAATTGCTTAAAAACTGATCTATGGAATTATTTATATTAAGCATGGAAAGAAATACTCACCAATTATCAAATATATCAACAGACATTAAGTGACTAGCATTAAAACAGTGATTAAAATATACGGATTTACATGTACAGATGAGACAAATTAAAAGGGATTGGAGAAATAGACATATAAAAGACAAAGGGTATAAGGGAAGATTATAAGATGATAAGGCTATTTGATAGAGTACAGAATAAATCAGTTTCATATGATATAGTTATTAATAACTAATTGTAGAGTTAGAAATAAGACAGAAAAATGTAAAAAATTATACATTGTAAATCGGAAACCATCCTAAGCCGCCTAGGCAGGGATTATAATAAATAAATAAATAATAATAATAATATAAACGAGAGAAACATTTACTTTTATTACCCACAAATATGTCAATATATGGATTTCTTTAAAGATTTCAATATTGCCGTAATAATTTTACAGGTTTGCTTTACTTTCCTCCAGTTTCCTATATTTACCACTAGGAATATATAGTGTCTTAATGCTTGGTTCACGAACTTGGTGCCTCAAAATTCGCCGAAATCCCGCTGCAGGTTCCTCTGAGTGTCCACGTTCACCACAGAACACCAGTGGCGACATCCCACTCACTCCACAAGCTACCATTCGCAACCCTCAGAGAAGCAGACTACTTAGAACTCAATCTCCGATTACCTACCATCAACCAAACCCATCCAATTTTTGAGAGTTACCCTCCGAAATAAATCCATCGATCGCCTCTGTTCCCAACGAGGTCTAACTGTGAGTCTACCGGCGGAGCGGACAGATGTCCCAGGTCGACGTTGCGACGCGTGCGGGGTGGCGCGTGGCGTCGTGTTCGGTGGCGTGGTACGGCACGCACGGTGCGCCCCCTGATGCGGGGTGGGCAAGTATTGATTGGGTCGGCTCGTTGGTCGGCGTCTGTGTCCAGAGTGCAAGAAGAGAGGGTGGCGGAATCGGCAGGCGCCATCACGCGGGGCCACCGCGACCGTCGTCTGAAGGGCCGTCCAGCCAGTGGCCGCGATCTCGATTCATCGAAAAGATGGTCATGATGGCTGGCATGGACGACCACGAGCGCAAAGTCGTCCTCGAGTTTTGCCACTTGCTTGAGAAGAGCAAGCAGCTGTTCAACGGGTTACGGGATCTGCCACAATACGGACACAAGCAGTGGCAGGGCTACTTCGGGCGCACCTTTGACATCTACACGAAGCTGTGGAAGTTTCAACAACAGCACAGGTGAGTGAGATAAAAAGAGGAAGAAGAAAATAAAAGTAAAGGAAGGAAAAAGAAATCGTGTACCATCGTGTCGCGTATACCGGGAGTCACGGTGAGTCATCGTCGGACAAGGGTGGCCGCTGGCGTGGCCGAAGCCATCGATCACACGCGCACCGTTCCTCCATGCCACGAGGTCCTTCGACACGATCCGCGACTCCGTCAGGATAACGGCGAGTATACCTGTTCCGTGTTTCCTCGACCTCCTACGGAAAGGGCCGACGATTTGCGAGCCCGCCTCGCATGGACGGACACGCGTGCACCTACGTACGTGGAAAACGTAATAGGCGGCCGCACAGGGGAGTAAACGGGATCGGTTGCCCGTTCACGAAGGACCACGGCGGTCCTTTTACGCACTCAGCCCACCATGTGACGTGGCGTGAATGGAGATCGTGCGCGCGAGTGAACATGGTCACGCGTGTGCGTCTGTTCATGTTACGCTTACTCCGATGTTCACCGCGATGTCCCTGCGAGGTGTAGGTATTTTTAGTGGATACACTTCAACCATAGGTTATGTTACATTTTTATCGATTGTCATTTTTAAACAATTTTATAACAAATGCATATTATTGATACGTTAATGTCTTGTTGCTAGTAAATTTAAATAGAGTTTTGTGTATTAATGATGTAGTGAAATTTATTTTGCAAAATTGCACGCATTGACATTAAGAACGCGTGAAGGAAATATGAAAGCAAGAACAGTTTTATAGAATTAAACAAAAATAGCTATATTAGAAAATAAATAGAACGAAAAATATGATATCTTTACTTTCACATGCTTTCATATCCTTTTTGCGTGCCTTACTTTATTTTAACATATAAAATTTTGCAAAAAGGAAAGTTCAAATATCTTTTAAGCTGGTTGCTTTTGTACAGTTATCTCGATACCATTCACAGATATTAAAGGATACATCAGTTAACACACAATTCTATTTAACACTAGAACATCATCATCACATCAATGGAGTACATATAATTACACTTCCATCTTGATAAATTTCAACTTCAACTTTATGAAAAGTACTTGTATATCTTGAATAATTTTAAACAAAATTCTGAAAGACGAGTATTAAAAAGAATAGATGAAATTTTTTGAAATATTGGAAATGAAAGTATTCCATCGATTTGGAGAAAGAATAGAAGATATAAATTGTATTAAGAGAATTTTTCATACTGATTTGGGTGTGAAGCTGACAAAATTTGCATGATCTTCGCATGGAATTCTTATACGATCGAAATCACGTGACCCAAGTCCTCGTGGTAGGCACAAACGCTCGCATTTACTTGCATTCCTTCTTTAGCAGTTTTACGAATAAGATGAATACAGACTCTGAAACAATTTCTTCGTAATAAAATCGTCTAAATATATGGAACAGTATAAGATCGAATAATCTGAGATATATGACAAAATTTCATATTGCAATCCACTCTGTCTTACCTCATTGAAATAACGAGTTGGCTGTACTAATTCACCTTGGTTTCTGTATTTACACGTGTAAGACATTTATTTATTTCCTTTACTGCTCTTATTTGTGTCAAGTGAGTCTCCATTTATCGTACCATTTGTCGTGAATCATATTCAACAATCTCTCTTAAGATGTTATTGTCAATGGCATTTTCTGACCCTTTACTTAATTTGTTTTCCAATAAAGGACCATCAGTCTTGAATCCTATGAATCAACGTTGAATTGCTTTAACATTAACATAAGTGTATTTAAATACCGTATTTTATATCTTTAGCAGTTTTTATGATATATTTGCCATGTTTGATATTATGAAGAAGTTAGACGAACTTTATGGCAATTTTTTCAATTGTCTACAACTTTCAACTCACGTGAAAATTATTTCACTCAAATACATGGTGCATCGAACAATCTACAAGTCTTTAAAATTTTATCCGAATCGACCTAATAGTAGCCAATTAAGATACAATATTTTAACTATCTTCATATAATATTCTGAAAATAATAAACATTTTGATATATCATGATACAATTGCAAGTGATTAACAGAAAGATAGTGTGGCAACGCGTGTTAGCCAAATCCACGCTAGCGACTGCCACGAGGGTTTCAGTCACGTGGTTCCCAATATACGAGAATTCTTAATGCAGGTTATACGAAGATATGGACGAAACAATAGTCAATGTTCTGTTCAATATGCATTTAAATCGTATTATCTTGCAGATCCCTTTTCTGTTACCGTTTCAGTTGTAAAACCTCTATATCTCCTTCACCCATCTGTCTAAGGTACCCTTGACCGATTCACCTAGACAAGTTTGCTTCGTTGTCTCACTTGAAACGCGTTGCACATACGTCTTTATTTACCTTTTTCGATTCTGTTGCACCGAATGCCCGGTAATCTTCGGCCCTTTGTCCCTTTCCCTTTTGATCGTGAAGTGTCATCAACTTGGGCTGGCTCGCTGATGGTGCGACTCGACAAAGAGTCAATTGTCTATCCGGCTATTCACACCGCTCGCGTTCGTGCAGACATGCGACACCTAGCCACCACGATATACCGCGTATACATGTATATGTGTATATATATATACATAAATATATGTGTTTATATATACGTAACACGTTCATGCTGATATACATAGGTAGACACGCGATCGTGTCACGCCGACTGTTAATAAATATCGGGGACGTTCTTTCAGGATCGGTTCCACGCGTCAAAACAATAGGGAAAGTTTCTCGAACGTACGACCGGCAGTTTCAAAAATATCGCGGATCCGGGCTTGTTTGTTTCTATGTTTTTGTTCCATTTCTGTATCTTTTTCGTTTTTATTATACTGGCTTTTCTGTTTTTTTCATCGTGCACATAGAAGGGTATGGACATTTTATTCCATTACTCTAACTTCTCTACGAAGAAAGTGAGATTTCTCATGAAATAATATACTGTTGGGTACGAGATTTCGTTCAGTAATATGACTCGTTGGTGTTGCGTTTCTGCGAGGATTGATTACATGTTAATGTTTATCAGTTGGTTAAAGTATCTTCTTCCGTTTCCCTTACATTTAAAATCTTGATCTGTTAATCTAATTCTATCGTAACGAAGTAACTTCTTTGGAACAATTATTCGTTCTTACATTTCTGATAGTTTTAGGTATAAATAGTCAATATTTTAGCAGATTATTTAATGCCTAATTCTGGGCAATCTTTACTCCCTGTAATATAAATTTCCATAATTATTCAAATGTATAATGTAAAAGTACTAAAGTTGAATACTTTTTATATCTAATAAAGTAGAGGAAATTTAGGAGATATACTTAACCAATCATCAAACTTTTCCTTACAGGGCGATACTAGACACAAAGTACGGCCTGAAGAGGTGGCAGATCGGCGAGATCGCGAGCAAGATTGGCCAGCTTTACTACCACTATTACCTTCGTACCAGCGAGACCAGCTATCTTCACGAGGCCTACTCGTTTTACGTGGCAATCCGTGGCCGCGCTTACTACAGCCGCGCCGCTAAGGAGGATAGGAGCGACCTGATGGTCAAAAAGCTCAGGTACTACGCCCGTTTCATCGTTGTCTGCCTGTTGTTGAATCGGATGAAGCTCGTCCGTGAATTGGTCCAAGAACTGGACGCCCAAATCGCCGATTATACCAGCACCTACGAGCCGGACGATCAGCTCGAGTGGAACTTGGTGCTTGACGAGATTAAGGCGTTCGTGAAGGCCGAGTCGGCCGTCGGAGTGGTGCACTCAGACTCGAACCCGGTGATACTAACCCACAGGCTAGGGCCGCAGACTTCGCCGCCAGTGGAACGTACGCCACCCATGTGCCTATCCCTACAAGAGATCCTGATCGTCGGCAATTGCGCCGATCAGGTGAAGTTCAGTGAATTGTCGATGGACATGTTCAGGATGCTGCAAACGCTCGAAAGGGAGCCGAGGGACGACCCTAATCACCTCCACGACGCGTCGCCAGCTGGAAGGATGCCGTTCAGGCCTGGCGCGTATCCGGGGGCAGAAAACGGGGCCCCGAGACGGGACAATCCACACAAGTACCTGTTGTACAAGCCCACCTACAGCCAGGTACAGGTATTCCTCGCGAGTGGTTTCAAGGAGCTGCCCGCAAACGGAGCGCTGTTGCTCTACTTGTCGGCGGACGGCTGCTTCTCCACCGTCAAGCATCCGGAAGAAAGTGAGTGTTCCCTTTGATCGCCACCGATCACGCTTCCGCGAGTATTTTAGAGCCTTGGCTGAGCCGTTTTACGTTGCTGTCTCAGAGGATTCGAAGCATAGATTCAGGAAAAAGATGCTAGAAAGAATAGAAAGTAGGCTTTGAGGACATTGAAGAGTGTAGGGTTAATTATTGTTTGACGATGATAGGTTTTTAGATACATAGTGTTCCTGGTCGTTGCTCGAAGAATTTCTTATACTTGCTTGTATCAAGCTTAACTGTGTCAGGAGATCTTTCTTCATGTTTATTTCTATTATTTTGTACCGTGAAACAATTCGTATTTATGTAAATTGTAAAAAATTCTGCAAATGAAAATTAATAATTTTAATCATGATCAATAAGCAAACTAAAAGTAAGGTAATCCAATTTTTCCCAGTACTGTATATGAATAGGATATTTTAAAAATAGGGATTAATCAGGCAAATTTCTTATCTAGTAAAATTCTGGTTTGTATTTTAGTAATATCATTTCTTCATAATCAAAATTTTTTATCGATTTCTCGTACAAAAAGGAATACTTACTTCAGTCTTCCTGATTCCATGACTGGATCTTCTAAAACTACCATTATTCTTAAAGGTAACGCAGCATCGCCCCTAAAAGCATTTTTTGTACAATTAATTATGGCATTAGTTAACGATGCAGTTTCACTACCTATCTTTGCTTATTTGGATCGTTCATTATCAACACATAAAGGTTAGGTCCATCGAATAAATCGTACAAAAAAAAAAAAAACAGCACTCATCTAGTTAAACATACATCATAATAGAACCATGTTTATGCAAATTATTTACCATTTCTAAGAGTAACATTTTGTCATCAGCCCGACAAAATAAATCCAATACTTAAAAAGATAACCTATAAGACTTCTTACGTTAACATCTAAATTAGCTTTTCCAAATCAAATCTCGCTTTTCACCAACCCCAGAAATTCTCGAAACGTAACTCGGTAGTAGGCTAACTGCCTAAAACTCATTTCAACTCACCCCACAACCTAAAAATCGCCAAGCCGAAACAGTTCGCGCGAACTGGCAACCAGTTGGTCGATCAAAGCGCCAGAACGTGTTCACCTCTTGTTAACAAAAATAGTTTCCGTTTTAAAAAGGCGGTTGGCCTCCGATCGATTCCATTGATCGGCCGAAAATTACTTATCACGGTAGAGGGCAGCCGTTGATGCACAGCTAAAGCGAATCACGCGCTCAGCGAAGCCGAAGGCGAACGCGTGTCGGTGTTTTCGGTCAGTTTCCTCGGCCGGTAATTCTACCACTGGTGGAACGGGTTTTCCGTGTCTCATCGGTACGTCTATTCTCGAAGGTAAGGTTTTCCTAAGCTGCTGTACACAATAATACTGTACATGATCTATGTACACGATACCGCTATTGTAAGCTTAAACTCTATAATAACTTTCCCATTAGCACGGAAATGGCCGTGAATAGATAAGCTATGTCGCAACAATGTTGCACGGTGCCTACGACACCTAGCGTAAATGCGCGTCTAAACGCATGCCGCTAATTGGATCATCGAGTGCGACCATCGCCTTTCTCCTATTCGTTCAAGGGCTTCGGGTGAGCATTCGGTACGCAGCCCATCTTCTTGATTGATTTAGTCACTGAACAGAACAGTCTTTTCACGAGAACACGAGTAGCATTAGAATTATATAAACTGGGAAGACTGAAAAGTGTTTCTAGGTTTGATTGAAATTGTTGATGCTGATAAAGTTTGGAAACATTTAATGATGAGTTTCTGAGTATTTTTGGATGAAGTAATAATGTTTTCCATCTTTTATTTTTGTAGGATTTTCTATTTCAAGAATCAATTTTTGAAGTTGCAGCTCGAAAGAAATGGTATATATGTATACATGTACTTGCATATACTGTTTCTATAGCTCTCTAAATAGTAGAGTCCAATATTGAAACAAGATTAAGTTAAAATAAAGTTAATTGTTTATAATGTTATTCCATTTAGAAGCAGCATATTCACATACCTTTTTAATTTAATTTAATTTTTGTATTTCTGTATTGTAATTTATGGAATTATACAAGAATCAAATAAAGAATAAAGAATATTTTAGACAACTAGTAGTAAATCTACTAATGCATAAAGAAAAATTATAAGTTAAAAAACAAAATCTAATTTTAGGAAATTTGAATTTAGAGGTAGCATTTTTAAGATAGTTGTGTTAGGTTATATTTTGCTAAAGCACCTTACTGATTACAGCTATACTGATTGGCTAGCATAGAAGAATCATAAAATTAGATGCTTAGATGCTGCACAACTATAGAAAAATTACTGTAGATTATGCTACTATAGTTGAAATGAAAAATTAATTACTACATAATAATAATTAAAGAACTTCTAACATAAAAATTAGTGTTTAATTATTATGTATATCTCTACAAAGATACAAATAATAATTCTATTAAATTTGTTAGAAAACAAAATAAGATTGAAAATAATATAAATAAGTTATTTGCATTTAAACATTTAAAAATTCTCTTGGAATTTTTGAATAGATAAAATTTATATAGTCTCAGTACAAGGATTGAAATTCTTGACAAATTTGCATTAGCACTCTAATGATAACAAAAATTACATATTTACCCTTTAAACTATTCAAAACAATCTAATTATACACCCAAAAATAACCTTCCTTCGTTATCACTTGAACAACACATTGTTCTACAAAATAAGTTCTACAGTTTCACAATGCAGTGTTCTTTTCTCCTTCAAAATCAACGCCTTTAATTGGATTCGCGAAAAGATCAGTACAAGGTGTCCACAACACGAAAGAACCAGAAAGGACACATACTAGTTTCTTTTTTTCTTCTCTCTTTTTTCGTCTTTAATTAGTGCCCATCCTCATGAAACTTTTATGCGGATCGAAAGAAGTCATCTTGAATGCCGACTCGCGAGATGCACACGACCATGACCCTTTATCGTGGTACACGTTGAATTAACTAAATAGAAAATCTAGGTCGTTTAGATGGTTTCCTAATATTCCACATACCTTAATGTTCAACCGCGTCGAACCATTACCTTCCGGGCGATCTGGAATAGTTGCCTATCATTCGTTGCATTTCTGTTCTGGTTTATTTAGTAATTCGTGCGTTAAACGCCAGAGATCGTTGCGCAATGCTTTCGATGCTTTCGTGATGTTTATATGTATAATATTTGGTATTTATCGATGTGGCATGTAGATAGGTATTAATATTTATTGTTCTATATATTGAGTGGTAAATTGATGGCAAAATTTTGGTGGTATATTCTATTTTTCTTTTTTTCTTTTAAATACATTTTAGGTTAAATTATAAATATAGAATAAAAATTCATATATTATACTTTTATTTATAAATGATTATCATTCATATTCTCAATTTTCTTATATTTCAAAAATTACAAAAATAACGAAGGTGATAGGGAAGTAGTCTTTATTGTAATATTCATAGTTCGACGCGAAAGTCGCTGCAAGACTATAACCTCCAAATGATTTGTTTTCATTATTAGAATCAAAGAGAATCTGTCAAAATTTGGCCACCTGTTTCTAAACCGCACTTTTATTCAATTCTATTCTATTCTACCTCAATTTGTGTCTAATCATCGAGTGATCTTTCTTTCTCTGTTTTTCTGCTGTTTTCTACAAAGTACATTCTCCACTTGACGTCCACTTGTGTGTTATCTAAATGTTACATATAAGACACCTCTAAAAGAGCGAAGGATAAGAAAAAAAGAAAAGCGAAAGGAAAGAGGAAGAAAAAAATTCGAGTTAAGTCCGAAGGTCGGCGATGTTGAAAAATTCAGCAAGCTGACCACCAAAGGAATGCTCGGAAGCCGCTATTCAGAACGCGGTGAGGTTACAAGCCGGTCGAGAAGGCGAAAACGGTCTTTCAACGAAAGTAGAGTAGCGCATCCGTGTCAAGGTCATTCCGCGATAGACATTCCAAGCAGCCAGCTTGGTGGATTCTAAGTTTGCAATCAATATCGAAATACGTAGCAGTGCGTCGATATTGAAGAAACCCCGCTGGCTATTAGTCGGCAGTTCTTTTGCCTCTTTTAATTAAGTCTTTGCTTTCGGTCTCGTTAAACATCTCATTTTTACGGTTCCAATCGGTTTTACGGATTAAACATTCGCATTAGGTAAAGAATTAAATTTGACCAAAGGGAAGAAGTAGAAATGTCGATATTATAGATTCCAGCAGTTTATAGGGTTCAGTAGAAAAGACCAGCAATTGTCGGACACGCGGGAAACTAGGTAGAGTTTAAAAGCAGAACTAGTCTGGTCCAAAAAGTGCGATACAAATTACAATGTCGCGGTGCGATCTAGTCCGGGCGCAAATAAATCTTCCAAGGATACAGAGAACGATTTTGGTAACGCCCCAATTTAGAGTACGCCGCGGCGAGTCTCGAAAACCGACACGGTCCGACGAGCTTCTCTGTTCATTGTTTCGTCGAAATGAAGCTCGGTCTTTCGAGCAGGTCGCGCGTGAACAGTTGATGCAACTGATCGCTGCTTTATTTATAGAAACACCGACTGCAAAAACAGGCCTAAGTGCCTATAAGTTCCGTCTTTGAACAACGTTCGTTTCAGTCGTTATAAAAAGTATGCAATATTCGTTATCACTCAAAAGCGCCATAGTATTTCAAAAAATAATACTTCCAAATTAGTGGTTTTCGATAATAAAATTTTCTAATTTTTACTTTTCGAAATCTTAAAATTTGCAAATTTCAAATTCTTACATTCATACTTTGAATTGCAAATCTAAAATTTCGATTCTCTATCTATATTTTCAATTACAAAGTTTTCGAATCCCCTATTTTTAACCTCAAACTTGAAGCCAAGGAAAGGCATACCACTGCCTCATTGTTAGGTGTCAATCCCACCTGACATCGCGCCGCTCCACGAAACCGGAATTGCACGATGTTGATAAACTTTCCGCTTTTACAGTGGGGTACGACCTGGGTGGCGTATCCACGTGCAGCAAGAGGGATCCGGAGCATGGCAAAAGGCCGACAGGTGGCAAGGAACCGCACTGCCTATATCCGGGTGACCTCTATCCGTTCACCAGGAAACCTCTATTCGTGGTCGTCGACTCGGACAACAGCTTCGTGTTCCAACAGATACCCCGTTACTTCGGTCAACCATTGATGGTGCTGATGTCACCCCAGGACACGCCGCCTACGTTGCGCGATGTTCGACACGGTGGCAGCCTATTCACTCTGTTTCTCCACGCCCCCCTAGCCGCGTTTTGCCTTATATGCAACATCGGCAGCCTGGCCGTGCACCACTGGGAGCGGTGCCAGCGTTACATCGAGCGATTCCTCATCGAGGCCTGTCAGCTCGTCACGCGCTCCAGATGCGGTAAGGATCCAGGACGTTGTTTTTGTCGCCTGACACGGCCTAGAAGAGCTCTGCTCTGCTTTTCTCTCTCTCTCTCTTTCTTTCTCTCTCTCTTTCTCTCTCCCTCTTTGTCTCTCTTTCTCTTCTAATTGGATAGGGAACAGAAAATGAAGCAAATCGGTGAAACTTTCTTGGCTCTGACCTGGCTATATTCGATCGTTGGACTGGGTGATGAGAATATTGCTTTTACAAATTTATTAGAAGGGTAATTGTAGAGTAATTAAGTCAGTATTTTGCAGATTATGTATCGAGATAGGAATGTATCGAATCTAATTCCTTTACCTTTTTTGGACGTTCTTCTGTTCTACATTTGAATACTTTAAGTTTTCTTTTTAGGAAACTTTCGGTGTACAAAAATCTCAAACATTCTAAAGGTCACATAGAGATCGTGTTACTTACACGCAACTAAATTTATTTCAATATCACCTATTTTTTTTTTCTCTCCAAAGGAATAAGTATCGATCTTCGTTGAAAGGAGCGAAAGAGACCTTGAAATTGTTGAGGGGTACCACTGACACTGCAATATTAGAAAAATCATCAAATTTTGTTACCAAAATATATCAGCTTAAATTTTTCTCATTTATATAAAATATTCTGAATATATAATATTACTGATAAATATATATTTGTTTACTTATAAAAAAATTGGTTTCCCATTGCAAGATACTATTGTAAAACAAACATTTAATTCAAAAAATTTTATCATACGTATAACTAATTTAAAAAATATACTAGTAGCAATTACTATACTATAATAATATCTGACGTAAACAAACATTTTTGTAATAACTGTTATTTCTTTGTTTATCTTTATCTTATTTTTACCTCAATAACGCACGAAATACATGGGCTTCTATAACCTATGAAATCCTTTGTAGAGTTGAGAACTGTAGGCAAAAAATAGAAAAAATATTTATATAAAAATGTAACATATTTGATCTTTTTTTAAGATAAAATTATAACTATGAAAAATGAAATAAAATAAAATTATGTAGCATCTACGTACCTATAATCTTTCTTACATAGAGTAATTTCATAAACAATCTCTTGAATCTTTGTACACTCGTTCTGATGCACCTGAAAGAAAATAAATAGAGTACACATCTGTTAGAAATTATAAAAAGACAAATTTTTCTATGATAAAAAGTGTTTAGCTTACTTACACGTAGTTTATTTAGTTTACTCCCTGTCTTTTGTAGCCTTTTTATCGTATCTCACTGATGACTGATGACCCACGTGGTATCGATGTCAACACAAAACATGTTAACCACTACAGTTAACGACGCCATCTACGCCTCTGTTATTGTTTTGCTCGTCAAACAAACGTTTAGCAACGTAATTTAAATAACTATCGGTGCTACTACCTACAAGTTATTTTTGTATAACGAGTTCAATCGACTTCAGTGGTAAACAGTTAAGAACGGTAGCATATCTTAAACAAGAATTCTCGAACCCAGTCCTCGAAATCGTTTCGGTTCGTTCACCGACAGCCAGAACACGTTGAAAGGGATTTACGATTGCGTTCGAACGATAAACAGAACTGGCCTAGATCCAGACCGTGTTTATCGCTGAACCGGCAATCTCGCCTCCTAGACGCGTGATCTAGGGTCGGCTACAAAGGGGCTCTCCATTGTTCCTCCCGCGACAGCGATATGTCGTGTGCGAGTTTTGAACGTACGAGTGGCTTCCTTTGTCGTAGACTCTCTGTCTCTCTTTCTCTTTTCTTCGCTATAATAATCGCGTCGTTAAGTAAAACTTTGTGCAGATACATTTAATTCACTTCACCCTCAGAAAGTTTCACCGAAATCGATCGAGTCAGCCAGCTGACTATCTAGCCTGGCAATAATTCGTTCGAAAGTTCAAACAACAACAGATTCTCGAATAGTAGGCAACAACAGCAGCAACAGTAATATGCAAATTTGTCGGCCATATCTCTAGATCTGGAACCGTCGTCGAACTTGTGTTCAGAAAAAGATCGTGGACGTCAGCGGGTGATTTCAAGCGCAATACGACAATCTACCTTTACCGGTTTTGCAGTGTAGTCCAACCGAGCGATCGTGATTCTGCGAATGCGCATCTTAAAGCGCGCAGAGAATAGAGGGGATAGATGAGTTACTCCCACTTCTTTCTTCTTTGTTCGTGCATTTGTAACTCGTAGAGCCTCGTGTAAAAAGGAACTCGATGTCGAAGCTATCCTGTAACATGTTCAATGCCGTATTTTAACTAAGTTTTTTATTCTTGTCAATTAAACGTTAACATAAACAATAGAATAGTTATACGTATAGTATCAAACTGCACAAGATGTAATACAATAGACTTTACCTTTTGCCTTTTACTATTATGAAACATGATTAAAGTCTTACGAATGTAAGAAATACAGATCCATCGCAGATAAGGTTATGTTATAATGAAAACCCTCGTATCATTTAAGTAACTAAACTTTATCATTGAAATAATGTTGACTAATCTTATATGTGTTTTGTTTTAGTGAGAATTTCAATGTCGTGATATCTTGTCAATTATTTAAATGATAGGTAGAGAAATTACTCGAAAACTTTAATAGTGAATACCGTTGATCGATGAAGCATAAACAAAAGTTTTGTCTTGAATATAAACAACTGCCACTGCGGTGAATATACGATGACAAAACGGTTGCAGATATATTGGCTTATTATTAGCTGAAGATTTTTCATTAATCATTCTTAATTCTTCGATCTAGTATCACGATCACTCGATAGGACTTGACAAAACTATCTAAGTCTTATACACGACTAAAACAGATTTCACCAAACTAACGTGTTATCTTCTTTTGGACAAGAGGATCCGAGGTATAGAGTTCACTGTAGACATAAAGGTTACATTTATATTTTTCAAATTATATTTTATATACTTATCTCTATAAGATTGTATTATATCTTTTAAATTTCACTATATAAAGATATTCAAAAGTATTACAATCGAACTAAGTATTATTTAAATCGTTATATTGTAAAATGGTTAATGTAACCAGCTCCTCTTTTCTTTTAAAACAGAAGACAATATGCAGAAATAGGAGAGACTTGTTTTTGTTACGAGTAGGTGTTGGACAGTGCTGAATTTCGAGAATCGAAAAGTTCACGTAGGAGAGACTACCTACCAGGTTTTCCTATCTGGAACAAGGGTTATCAACGCTTACGTAATCCCAGTGAGAAGTTTCTTAACCCTTCTTCTACTTCGGGGTCGAGATAAACTTGCCGCGAACATTCCTAAAAATCGAAAAAGTTTATTTTCTCGTATGAAAATGGACTAAGGGAATCGGAAGAATTCGTAAAAATTTATGAAGAGTAAAAGAGTTGAGTCACGAGGATGAAACTCACCGATGAACTGACGTCCTCGATTGGAACATAAATCGAATTGCTCGAACGTCAAAATTCTGAAACGAAACGAACGAATGAACGTACAGCATATTGGAAAGGTCTCTCCGCGGATTGGTTGCTTGTTAACGTGCAATTGGAGGTGTTTTCAAGTTGGATTTACACGGAAGACGCCTTTTTCTTTTAAATATTACAATCAGAGTCTTCTGTTTTTTATTTTTCTATTTTAAAAATTCTGAATAATAACATAAAGATTTGGAACAGAAAATCTAGTGAAATTGTGAGGTGCCAAATTCACTTTTCACTAACCTCGAGTGATAAATTGATTCGTAACAGTTTATAACAAACGTTACTTTCCAACGAGTAATATCTTTCCTTACAAGTTCAATATTCGTTTTCCAATGTTTCTTCCTTAACAATCTGTAAAAAGATGAAGTACTGTTAGCAAACGTTAGAATATTTTACTTAACAAAAATTTGTTTCAATTTATAAAATCAAAAACCGTTTTATTCGAAAATTGGAAGAACAAGAATAAATGAAAAAACTCCAACTTCACGCATGATATATGCAGCCACGGAGACACTTTTACAATCGTCTGTATATATAGATATATGCATATGAAAAAAAGCCAGAGCCCCGAGAGAAACTGCTTTGGACCTGACCGAGCGCTTTTACCGGTCCACGCAGAGACCAGCGTGTTGCAATTCTTCGGCGACGATTTCCTACGACTGTTGCTGGTGCGCTACGTGTTCTGCGACGTGGTGTTGAATCTGCACCGGTCGTTCAGGGGTCGACAGCAGAGGCCCCGTTGCCATCCACCGTTACCGGACGCGGACGTCCTCGAGCATCCCACCCTTCATCACCTGGTGCTCGACCTGGCCACCTGTCTTGACTGCCGCGACCACTTCCCGGACAGCAACGAGCTCGCCTGACCCAGGCATCTTCCCTGCCGGGCCCCCCATGAGTCTACGTCCCTGTTGCCGGCGTACAGCCACGACTACGATTACGATTACTGTAACTACAATTGCAACAATAAAATCGTTACACTGAGACCTCATTAAACCGCGTCTAAACAAAAGAAAGGGGACGAGGACAAAAATGAGAACTGGAAGGAGAAAAAAATAACTGGGAATGAGGAAAAAGTTACGATAAACAAGAAGAACGGAACTATTCGCGTGTATCCACGCGCATGCGCATCGTCGCTCGATAAATCGCACGGTCGTAAACGATCCGCTCGTTGGATATCGTCGACGCCGTCTCAGGGTAACCCGGTGTCGTGCTTTTCATCGTCTTCGTCGTCGTCGTCGTCGTCGTCGTCGTCGTCGTCGTCGTCGTCGTCATCGTCGTTGTCGTCTTTGTCGTCATTCTCGTCGTCTGTTCGTCGATGACTGTTGATTCCCTGTCGGTCGGTTTTGTCGGTCGAAAGGAGGCTGGTCGAAACACACGCGATGCCGGGTACAACGCGTTCTTTCTCAGCGTGCGTGAGACACGACTGCGGAAGAGGTGGTGGAGGAGTAGGAGAAGGAGGGGAACATGAGAAAAAACGAAGGAAAGAATTCGTAGATTCGTGTTCTCCTTAGACTCGTTCTATGTTAATCGCGACACACCGCTGCCAGTTTTTTGCTACGGACTAGTAAACGAAACACAAACAGAGAAAAAAGTCTATATATGTATATATATATTTTTTTAAATATATGATATATTCTGTCACTACGTCGATGGTAAAACAAAAAAAAAGGAACAAAAAGATGAATAATTATACGTATGAAAGAGAGACATTGTGATTCTCAATGAATGTATAGACGAAAGAAAGAGTGAATTTGTATGCACTGGTGCTTTGTACGATTTTAAGAAGCTTTTAGCGTGTTGTCGAATGATTTGGTTCGGTTCATATTTTACGATTTCTCGTTCGGTTCTCGATTATCGATTCGGATCGCAGATCACGCACCTTTCCAAGCCTTCTCTGTCTCTTTGAAAACCAAAAAACAAAAAAAAAAGGAAAAGCAAAAGAGAAAGGAAAAGAAAAGAAAAAGTCGTTTAGATACATGGCGATTTATCGATTTATAGAGAAATAAAGAGAATTTCGTTATTTGAATATAAAACACTGTGAATCCGTTTTAAAACCAATCGAACGCAAATTATGGTATCTCGATGCCATCGTGCACATAAAACCTACTAACCTACCAACACCTCTTACAGTGATATACACGCAGACACATATACATATACACATACGTATTATACGCATATTTTATTATACGGGCCGAGTTTCAGACTTTGCGATTCTATTTTCGTAGATGTGTCCGCGAAGCACAGGTTTTCCGGCTCTCAATCACTCTCTCTCCCTCTCTCTGCTTGTTCCCGTCTCGTAATCGTCACCCACGCAAACAACGTCTGTATCTATGGTTCTCTGTCTCTTTTTATCTTTTTACTTCTCTATTTGTTTCTTTTGGTATTATATAATTCTAAGATGTTTCCGGTTCCTCCTGATGAACTAGAAGCAGATAATCTATAGAATGTAAATAAGAAGATGAAGTTTGACGACTGTAGACTGATGACGTCATAGGTGAATATTAAAAACTATATTTTTCTAAAAATGATTAATTTTTTCTAAAGATGTTTTAGCTTTAATTTTAACACTTCATTTTTTCCCTTCAGGTGTAAGTCTCGTTCATTCATCGTTATTCGCCACGTAATGAACATCCAAGTGTCTGCTAGCATCGAAAGTTAGAAAAATCGCTGTAAATAGTATTGTATGATTTGAGAACATGCATCCAGTAACAAGGAAAAAGTCTCTCAAAGGGTATCTGAATAATCATTTCAAAGTCATATTGAATCTCCGTGAACATAGATTATTTATAAAAAAGACACATGCATTATATAACTGTATGATACATTTTTCTAAAATCTAACCTAAAAACAAATTCTACTTACAGAAAAAAGTCAAAAACTTCTATGTACGTAGAAAAATATACCCAGCAAAGAAACTAGGACTTTGCACGACTTTTAACGAAGTAAATTAATTTATCGTTTCTTTGTTCATTCATTATTTTTACATTATTAAAATTTGAACTCATTCCTTTTAATTCAAATCACTTTAAGATTATAATAATGTTATAGGTCGTCGGACTCGCCCTGAAGATGCCTGTAATATCGTGTTATAAAAACCACATATTCATGTGCAAAGAAGTATCGATGATCTTTAAATGACCTTCAGGATGACACTATGAAGGACTTATTCTTGTCACTACCAGATGCATACCTTCAAACCATTCAAACTCCACATAATCGTCCTGTTTTTATATTCAATATCAGTGGCAACAATCCAGATATTTATTATAAATGGATAATCACTGCCATCTTATTATATTTCTTTATTTAATTTTTTCTATTTCTTTTCTCCTTTTTTTATTTAATTTTCTAATTTCATCCATCTCGTTTCACGCTTCTTATCATTCTGCGTTCATTTTGATTTTCCCGTTCACAGTTCTACACAGTGGTCCATCGACGTCACAGAGTGCCAACCGCGAAGCTCGTTTATTTATAAGCAAAAAGTAGAGCGGCCAGAGCGCGAGAGAGAGTGGTTCTCATTGAGCTGCCGAGATGGTGGTTCACCGAATTGAACGTAACTGCTCTCTGTGCGTTTGTACGGAAGATGATTTAGCTTTGGGTGAAGAGCCGAGTGCGGCAGAGACGAAATGATAGAGATGAAATAAGAAAAATATAAAGGAAACAGTAGAAGAAGAAGAAGGAGGGAAAGAAACAAGAAATAAAAGCAGTTTAATTGTGTTCCCGTGTATATACAAAATATTATACTATGTAAAATCTAGACTTAATAAGAAAATGAGAGGAAAAGCTAAAAATGTCGGAGAAAGGAAGGGAAACAGGGAGAAAAAGGAGAGGAATAACGACTCAAGAGCAGAGTAATAGTGATATTCTCGGATAGGCGTTCGTTAAGCATTGTTGCGTTTAAGAGTACATGTTCGCGGTGCAGTATATTATATGACACGTATATACATATACACGAAAACACAGATACACCTCTGTACATTCTCTATATTTTATAAGAAACAAAAAAGGAAAAAAAGCAAGAGAAAAAAATTAAAAGAGAATAGCGATCCAAAAGAACATACGAAATACGCTGTGCGTGTCCTAACATCGCGGATGCGATGATGAACAGAGAAGATTCTATATTTACTGTCTATAATGCCCAGCGAGATTAAGCGAACAATTGCCGATCACATATGCCTGATGTTAAAGACCATACGATTATCGATCTCCGTGGTAGTCCTCCGGTTCCCGGGTGTTCGTTCTGTCGTTTAATGGGATAGTTTGTTCCTTTAATTGTTGATGTCTTGTTGCTGAGTTGGTGATGGACTGCCAATATTACGTGTTATTATACTATTAATATTTGTTTCTCTGTTTCGTTGTCGAAATTTCGAGAAAAATAAAAGAACAAGAATCATACGAGTCGCCTTTGATAAACGAACAGAGTACATACATATATTTAAATATATTTAAGTAAAACTAATATAATGAGGTTATAAAAATAGTCGAGTCAGAAAGCGTATTTGGTGATTCGTACTACGAGTATTTTTGCACGCGATTGACGAATATATCTTAAGTGGAGGATACTCAAGAAGACACCGGAAATCACCCTGTAATATTGTAGGAAGCGATGTTTTTATAAATCAACAAATAAGAATTCTATTCTCTTTTATACAGGGTGTTTTACAACATGGGTATCCAATTTTAACGGTGAACAAAGGTCATAAAAGCAATGAGAGAAGTTTACATACATACCCTATGTGACCTTTTTCTGGAGTCGTAGCCATTCGTACACCGATATTGTGCAACTAATTACCTATGTATATATGGCCACTTTCGGCTTAAATTCAGATCTCTAGTTGTGTTATAAAGTCATTATATTGAATTGTATAATTAGCGTTTTAAACAACTTGGTGATTTATTCCTTCTTAAATCTTACTTAGTATTTTAATTTGTTATTTCGACATATATTTAGTTCTAAATTACTAATGCTAATATTTAAATACATATAAATAGTGAAATAGTGTCTGTACTCCACTTATATATATCGAAAGTTTATATAGATTTTAAAAAATTCTGGTACAGTTTTGCACAGAAACAATCCGTAACAATGAGCTTAATATAAAAACGGCTATAACTTGAGAACAAGGTTAAACAGAGTTCACGTTTACATAAACTTTTTTCTAATTGTTTTCATGTTCCACGTCCGCTGTTGAAGCGAGTTTTGAAGCTGTTACAAAACACCCTTATATCGTTGGTAATTATAGTACAGGAACGATAAATATTTTTCTCACCTGACATTCCTATACTGTAATGAACCAAAATGGGAGAAAAGCTTTCAAAGAACTTCCTGAATTTATTGTTAGCGGGAATCATCAGCTACGTTACTGCAAAACACTATTGTCTTTCAATTTCTACAGTCGTTACTATTTCCACACATTTTTTCATTAAAATATGGAATTATACTTCACTATATTTCTTTCACTGATTACACTGACACTATACCGAACAGTATTAGACAAATCGCTTGTAACATTATACTGAAATCGACGTCTACACCCGGAAGCCAAGACTATCCATAAAAGCAGCCAAATCAAAGCCAAGAGAACCACGTTGAACCTAGATCACCGGTCCACAACTTTATTTTGCCCATCGACGGAAAGATGCGAGTGGGAAACGATGTGGCCGTATGGTCGAGTGCCAAGTCGTGACATAATCGACGAATCTATTCGTTCGATCATCCTGCTCTACAATTTTCCATTTTCTTGTGGGTCGTCTTCGAGAAAAATATAGTTGCGAATCATTTTACTCCTCGAACAGTCTTAGACTTCCGGTTCCTGCGCAGACTTTGCATTTTAATCGTTTACAACTTTCCTTTTAAAAGAAAGATTTGGAATGGTATCTCGAATCTGGTCCAGACACACAATATTCTCAGAAAATTTTATTTGCACAATTTTAGATGCAGACAATAAAACCATGATTTTGTGAAAATAGAACTAAAACTGCAAACAGAGTCAAAAGCCTGTAGAAGAAGGCAAAGTAGGAAAAGAATAAAAAATCTTTTATGACAAGAGATGAGCTAATTTGATGAAGACTTTTGGGTAAATGTCTTGTTGTTCCTCATAGTCTCATAAGAATGTACCTTTGCCTTTCCCAATCCATGATCAAGTCTTCTAGAAACGATATTCCTATACTAAAAGGCAACATAACATTTTGTAAGCATTGCTCTGTATTGCTTTCTTGTCTGCATTGTTCACTCTCACAAGCGATCTCTCTGCTGACACCCAACCGGTGTCTCTGTCATAAATAGAAACCTAATTATAATAAATTATAATTAATGTCATAAATAAGTTGAAAGCAATATAACATCGTGTTAATTATGAATGGAAAGGTATGCAATGTCTTTACTGTATATTATTATTGACACTGTGCAGTCAAGTGTCGTAAGAAACTTGAACATCTGGACTCTGTTTTGCACAGTTCTGTACGAAAGCTATTGGATCAGGTCTTAAGACTATCTGTTTACCTTTTCACGGAGTGACTCAAATCTCACTTATTTTCTATACCTAGGTGGATTAAGACTATCTTGACTGACAAAATCGAATCTAATCTCTAATCTAAAAATCTGTCATTCAAATAGAAATGACAATTTATAATGTGTTTCTAAATCTTGATCCAATATAGTCTTTTCTAGTGTCTTATGGTCAACATTAACTCATCTAGGTAATATAAAGAAGTGAGACGAACAACACTCGATTCAGGCTTTCAAGCTCAATTCACCGTTTTCATCTTGAACGAAGCTCACAGCATTAGACTACCCATAAAATCTGCCAAATATTCCATTCTTATGACCATAGTATAAATATCTTCGCACCAATGTTATACGTATCCGTTAAATTTTCTTCATCCACGGTGCTCTTCCGGTAACTTCGAACACCGATTATTATCCGTGAAGAAATTTAGATCAGTTCGATTAAATGTTCTATTCGTTCACTGCCTTTCGTTTAGGTATGTCGAGTAGTTCTCTTGTATCTCGTGTTTACTTACACCGATCGTTCTGTTCGTATTATTCGTCGATTTAGATATTAACGATGCACAGATGCGTTAGTGGATGAATCGCAACTTGATGATTTTTAAGAGAAAACGATAATGTGAATGGAATATTGTAAATGTACCGAGGAAGTGCTTTTGACGAATACTTTAAGGACCTATTGTAAAAAAGAGATATTATGGATAAAGTGCGTTTTAATAACTCTGGAAGGAAAATGTAAGTTATGCGAGTTTGTGTGATTTAATTAAAAAAGAAAAAAAAAAAAAAAGCAATGAAAGAAACCTGAGTAGGATGAAACAGAGCGCAAGGTTCGTAGTGAAAGAGGCAGGAAGCAGAAAAAAATAACAGTAACCCTTCTTCAAAGCCGATGAAGTAACAAAGTCAACCATTCTGGAGCTACACTTGACCCTCTATAACCAGAATTTTGTTCACCTGTAAGAAAAAGTTTATTATATATATTATAATTCGTTACAATTGTTCACGTCTATCGTACAGTGATAAGTAGATAAAATGAGATTTAGGAAAACATCGATGAATATGTAATTCTTGAGTTGCGTGGCGTTATAGAGGGTTGAAAAGATGGCAAATTTTTTATCATCCATTTGCACATTATTGTCAGAGAAAAACTGAAAGACTAAGACTAAAAAGCTGAAAGCAAATATCTACGAATTCATTTATAAAATATAAACGACAAATTACCTTCAATCCCTTTGCAGTACATCATGAAGATAAAACGACTTTTTACATTTAGCAATAAAAATAAGTTTACAGGAGAAAAAAGGCGCTAAAAGGATTATTATACGAAAATTTTTCCAAAAAAAAGATCTTAGAAAATTAAGGTTTGAAGAAATTCCCGGCAATGTCACTGCAGTGCTTTCTAAGTTCAAATGATTGATGTTTTTAAGATTTCTCTTGAATTCTCTATCCTCCATATATGATACATCGAGAAATCGAATAAGTATGAAATGAATTAAAAAAATAGAAAATTATAATTCATACGTAAATTCACGAGGTAAAGAAAGATTATAACATAAATAAAAGTCTTTACAGAAATAGCCTAACAGACTTATAAAATTAGCAAACGGCTTTTTCAAGAGAGTTTTCCAAACAAATTTTCAACCCCAAAGTCTAAATGAACGATAATACTGGCAATATTTTCTCTTAAATTCTTTATCCTCAATCTTACAAAAATCGTAAAAACTGAGAAAATATGTAAGTAGATTTTCATGACATCGTTCCGTTGTCTTTTAAGTCCAACAATTACGATATCGTTAACCCTAAAAATGCTTTTCCTTCGTAGCGCATCATGTCGAGAAATCAAATTCTCCCGCGTTGAAAGCTTTCACCGCCGCACCTGCGCGCCACTCGTGTAACTGCCGCCAGGTGGTACGATTATACGCGCGTGCAGGTGAATTCTAGCCGACCGAGTTCGAATTAATAGTCATCCGACACGAAATATTTCTATAAATAATCTCGATGTCCGCAACAGTGTTTTGTGGATGGGCCAGAGAGGGTACAGAGTCGCCTAGTAGCGGGCTGCAGTAGCGGGTTGCTCTAGGAAAACCAATTCTCCTCTCTCTCTTTCTCTCTCTTTCTCTCTTTCCTGTTTTCACGGTTCTCCCTCTATCTGTCCCTTTCTTCGTGCATCGTACGGGGTCGTGGCAACCCCGCGCAACACCAGCATATCGACGCCCGTACATTCTCCGTGCATCATCACCGAGAACAGAAAGAAGTAACGAGACAAAAAAGATATATAAGAAGATGCAACGTGCCTTCAAACCGGAGGAAGAAAGGGCGCGATCGTGAATAGGCCAGACGCGCCATTTCGAACCGGCTGCCTCATCGTCAGGTAGGCAGAGAGGAAGAGGAGACTGGAGGTGGACAAGTGGAATTAAAGGGGGTGGGGATGGAGCCGGAGCAACGTGGACGCACCTCGCGAGCGTCGTCGACGTCGAGCCTCGGTCGCGAGGTTCGTTGTGGCTGTCAGTACTACCAGAGCGACTCGCTTCTGCCGGAACGACGTGCTCTCCTCGGTAGACCGCCGTCCAGGACAATGCAGCAGCCACCTGCGGTCCGCTGCAGGTCAGTAATAAGCCAGACCACACACGATTTCATTGTACTGAAACTAATAGACGAGTCTTATAACCGTGGATACTCGAGACACCCTTTGGAGCTCGTCTATGGCATTGCTAATAGTCCTATATTAGTCCATCCCTCTTCCGTATGTATGTGTATTATATATATATATATATATAATGTTGCCTGTATGTAGTTGAATTGTATATAGCTCCACGTTTATGTGTGCATGTAGTAACCAAGCAACGGTTTGGAAACGCGGCTTTGAAGCAAATACCAGTGATTCGGTATCCAGGCCAGTTCATTCCTTTTCCAGCTGTGAACGAATGAATATCCCTGTCGATAAGCATTCGATCGTGCACGGGGAGAGTAGTCGATGTTGTATAGGTTACGTGTGCACGACTATGCTCGCGTGCCGCCGCAGCTATTTAAGGTTCGCCTGGCTGGCTATACATAGAATCTTCGGTCAGCTCGGTTCCACGTCCAGACTCCTCTCGCATCCCTCTGTCCATCTTTCTAGATGTATGTCTGTGAGTATATCTGTGTATGAACACAGTAGATGATTGTAAACTTAGATGTATATAATTGTAAATATATATATGTACCTGTGTGAATATACATTATTGTAGATACACACTTTTACCTATAAGTCACCCAGCACTTGATACATTTGGAATAAACATAAATTAACATTGTAATTACAACACGAAATTGACACTTGTTAACTGTTTACATTATAAAGGAAATTAAATTCTACTGTGGTTTTAGAGTCTTGTTATCAGCCTATTCTAATATTAGTAAAGAAATTAATTTTTTTTTTAAATTAGCATGTGACTTATGGTCGAGTATATATTTATATATATTTATAGATGAACGGGAATTATACCCGCATAGACATATTTATATACAATTTAAGGGAAGAAGAGGGTTGATAACTATCGCGAACGAACGAGTGTGTTCCTAACCTCCAAGTTCAAGAATGAATAGACACGACGCGATTAAATGGGCATCGAGTTATTACATCTCAATAATGGAAGCACAGATATCGATGATCGACTTATTGAAATTCGTGATAAGGCTCGACCAATCAGGACAGAGATAATGGGAGATTCTACGTCGAGGATCCTTAAAGATAACCGAGGGTAACCTATGCTGGGTGATTTTTAAATAGCTTGTGAAGCATATCGAACTTTAAGAAAATGGAAAATGATCGAAGAGTTACGTATATATAGGTATATTTCATAGAGCATTATGATGGAAGGAGAAATGAAATGAAAATATAGTAAATAATTATTACTAATACTAATAATTATTAATTATTCAATTATTAATTATTCAAATTTCATTAAATAATTTATCGAAATGAAAGAATAAACAGTTTAACAAATTTAATTTAGATGGTGTATGGATATGGTTGAATGATTGCTGCAAATGTTTAATCGAAGAATTTTGAAGTTAAATATTTGAAAATTGAATATGAAAAAGCTGGATGTTTCCTTAGCTAAACTATCAGGCATGATTAATTTTATGAGGTTTGTAGAAAATTATTCGAATGTTCAATTTCTATTTTAACATAAATAACGTAAAGAAAAATAGAAATTCGATAAGTTTAACAATCCTAGGAACATTATCGGATAATTTTGACAAAATGTAATTGAAAAAGTATCGAAATTGAATATTTGAAAATTTAGAAACAATTACATTACTGGAATTCAATAAAATTCGGAAATTAATTAATCTTGTCACTGTAACAGTATTCCTGCCGTCCTCAGAAGAAATCGTACCTGAATAAAGCAAGGGACGAATAAGCAAACATCTCCCTTCAACACTGCCCTCCCGATCAAACCGTCTGCGAATTAACCCTGTGATCGACGTATGAACGCTTTAACTCACCGCTGGAAGTCTACCATCTGTCTGACCAGTGACTACTTTTTCCACTGTGCCGTCCCATTCCAGTGAAACAAGCACGGATTGGCCAGCCTCGTTCTCCAGCGTTTGCTCAATAACAAGACTGACTGCGAAACTAACAGTATTCGTACTAATATGTACAAACATAATAACGCTCAAAATAACGTAGATAATATTAACAATTATTTAACGTAAATGTATAATCTAGTTGGTAAGTGTCTTTTACATTGATGCTCAAATAATTAACGCGCAATAATAGAAAGTCAGTTAAACGATAAGATAAGTGTAAACCTTAACGAATTTCAAGCTATTAATTAATCAATTACTGAAATTGGAGCAGGAATAATTTTAAAATTAACTGAGAAACCTAGCGAAGTTCAAGCAGAGACAATTAACTCTAAGAGCGACTGAAACACTTTTAACAAAATTTAAATTGTTAAGTAACATTAAAGCTCGCTGTACTAATTAACGGCAATTAACTGTGAAAATCGCTACTCAAGTTGACAAGACACGGGCTATTCAAGTCAATTCAAAATGCAAATCTAACTAAAGCATCAAATAATTGAAGAAATTACTTAACGAAGATTATTTTAACAAAATTCAAACGACAGACTAAATCCAAAATAACCACTGCGAATGTTAATAATACCCCAGCTGTTTATTAATCACTTGTATAACAAATAACTGTCAAACGAGACAAAAATGCCAGTTAGAACAAGAAGAAAACGAGTGACTTTTCGTAACAGTGAGCACGAGTACGAACCGATCGCGGTGCCGTCGCCGTCGTCAAAGCCGGCGTCGGCGCCGGTCGTGCGAATTACCGACACGGATGTGGTGCCCGTCGCTGATAGCGACGACAGCATCGATGACCGAGCACGCCTACCACCAGAACTAACACGAGCCGGCGATGTAGTTCTCCCGTTGGATGGCAAGATAGAGGACACGGCGATGGAGGGTCGTGAACTAGTGGAGACCGGTGACACTTCCGAGGAAGTGGAGACCCCGCAAGAGCTGCAAGAGCGATTAGAGGAACGATTTCTGAACGCTGCTACCCCGGGTGCCGAGTCCAGAACCGATGGCGAGGTCAACACTAGCCAAGTGAGTAATCTTTCTTGACACACATCAAGCAAAATAAACCTTTTCCTTTCTTTCTTTCTTAGGGAAGAAAATTAAATTTTTGTTGAGTTGTGAGGTATTGTTGAATTATTAAGTGACACGTTACTGAATATTTTTAAGTCAGTATTCTTTAGCACTGTTGAGTTACCAATAACGAATACTATTAATATTAGTAATTGTTCACCTAATATTATTAAGCATTAGTATTGTTGATTACCATAGAGTCATTATAATTAATTAGTATTATTGTCTTTCGGACATAAAATATCTCGCATTAAGTACGACTAAGCTTTTTCAATGATACTGATGACACATTAACACTAGCTCACCAGAACTGGAGGACTCAAACAATTTCTGAGTACCTCGTACCGATGTACAGGCATGAATCAGCAGGGCGTGGAAATTATTTTGATGTGATGAATTCATCACTGAAATTACGCTCTTTGGTATTAAAAGTATCAACCACATAAATTGAAGAAGTTGAGTCATTCTTGTCGACACAATAAAATTTGAAAACACGAAATGAAAAATTTGTAATTTATTGCAAATCTATCCTTGCAGTAAGGATAAAGACTAATATAATGTAACTCTAGCAATAGAAGATGAATCTTTGGTATCGTATTTTATTTTCCCCAATTACGGAAAAGGTCGTATAACACTTTCCATATAACGTACGTAGGACTTTTTATATAATAACAATTTTTCATTCTTGGCATTTCTTACAAGAATTATATCTAATCATCTCTTTCCTGTTAATACCTAAGGTCAAACTAACACTTGCACCATCTCAAAACAAATACTGGATCAAACTTCAAAATGAACAATCTCCTTGGATAGATTTACCTGCCTCATCTAAAGAAGTTATTTCATCTGCCTTAACTCGGCGTGGAAGGGTACCCTGCCAGATAGATTAATTCTTCTTTCTTACTTTTGTCAAGGAAGTAACCCGAGGTTCCTCAAGCAGGACAGGAATTTTCCAAAACGAACATGTCTCGCTGAATGTCTTGCGAACGCTTATCCGTGGATCTATATTTAGCGAAACATGCGTATAAAAAGCATTGGAGCTAACGTGTCACTGTCCGAGGGCCATTGTGCAATCGCGTCGCAAACGTTCCAGAAAACTCGGGCTTTCCCATCGGTTGCACAACCCTGCCTCCCCACTCTGCTTCTTTCCTTAAGAGAGTGTATCATCCCGCCTCGGAACGACTTTGGAAAAGCGCAAATTTATCATTAAAAGATACGTTAAAAGCTACATTAAAAGCTACGAAACAATAATAATTGATGGACAAAGATGCGCAATCTATTTCAAGACGTGACGATTTTCGCGCGCTCTGCGAACCTCACGAGCGTTTCTAGCTCATTAATGTTACGAGATACGTTAAAATCCTATTTTTGTGGAAAGAAATCTTGATTCGGCATGAGCGTTTGAGAACTCGAAGAGTAGATTAATTAATAATGATTAGATTAAATACGATCCTTCGATCGATTAGCTCTTATTATTGAAAGATCTTGAGAAATGTCGTAAAACATGCATCTAGTTTGTATGGAAAAGGGAAGATTTTAAATTCTTCTTCTTCTTGTTCCTGGTAAAAGAATATTGATCCTTTTTGATATTTCAAAGATACGTTGTTTTCCTTTCTTTTGACTACATGTAATTATCGATGATCAAGAAAGGTACGAATATAGAAATAATCTCACACTGCTTCAAATTTTATCCTATGCTAAATTATATTTGCACTATTCCTACCCAAGATTAACTCCCCACCTTTCCGTTCTTTATCCTGTGACATTTAAAGCAATCATTCCAATCTTTTTCTTCTTTTATACGATTCTCCAATCTCTCGCATAACGTTCTTCGGCGTTCAGAAAGGGAACTCGGTTCCATTAAGGTCCAATTGAACATAAACAACCATCGACAGAAGCTCGTAATAAACCTCAAACATCTTGATCTGACGAATTAAGCATACCAATCTTTTTATTTCAGGTAGACTCGTTGGCACTGGAGGAACTTCCACTTCGTCGTGGTGCCCGCGGTCTGCCCCAACGGTTAAAAACGCAGGCTGGCAAGTTACGTTCGCGTCTAAAGAACATTCAACGACCCACGTTCGCTTTCGCTGAACGACAAAAGCAAGAAAAAGTTAGATCGGCGAGCAGCGGCAGATCAGACAGATCCAAATCTGAGAAAAGACCTAGCCGAATGGACAGGATACGATCCTCGTTCTCCGAAAGGCCAAGATTTAACTTACCCAGTCGACCAAAGTTCTCGTTGCCTGATCGATCAAAGTTCCACTTGCCAGAGCGACCAAAATTCAATTTCCCTGAAAGGGCCAAGTTTTACTTGCCTGAAAAGGCGAAGTTCACCATTAAGAAACCTAACATTCGTCTACCCAATGCTTTAACTCGCATGAAAAAGTCTCCTGTACACGAACAACGATCTACTGATTCAACGATCGGTTCCCGAAAGAATATCTTCGACTTTTCTACTTATCCACGAATATTTGACAAGAAGTCAAGGAACAGCGGTGAATACGCGACCTCCACCCCTAAAGATTCGAGAGCGCAATCTACAGAGAGCTCAACGTTTCCACGAACTCGTAAAAAGAACAATAGATGGGCTGAGAGATTTGACACTACAATTGGTTACGTTGACGAAGACCAATCAAACGGAGAAACTGCGGCGGAAAGAGCTCAACCCTGGCTGCACCCCTCTAGAGAGGAACCTCGATTGTCTATGAGCCAAGAGGAACCAATTATGATACCTTGGGAAGAGAAACACAGGCAGGAAGAGCTTCAATATATGGATTACGAACAGGAATCTCCGGAAACGTCTGATCGACAACCGCAGCCAAGAGCAAATGCTTCAAAAACGGAAGAGGAATCTTATGACAGAGATAGAATGGAATCGAATCCGCGATTATATCAAATTGAGAAGGAGGTATATCAGCGTGGTGCTGAAGAAGATGATATGGAAGAAGGTCAAGAAGAATGGAGGCCGGAACAAGAGATGATCAGAAAGGACTTCAGGCCCATTCCGAGGTCTAGATCTTTGGAAGAGGTTCTTTGTACTAGGGAAGAGGAAAGATATGAAGAATCTTTTGCTGCGGTAGATCCAAGAAGATACGGAGTTCACAAGACACCGTCTGAAGAAGAAGAATACGAGGAGGAAATGGACGAGGATGAAGATGCTGAACCTTCATCCGCCCAGTCGGACAGGGAGCAACAGCACTCGAGTACCAGCTCCTGTGACCGACGTCGGCGTGGAGTGATCGAGGAGATCGATTCTGATGAATTCTTCCTTCGAGAAAGTGGACTTAGTCAAGATGACATGAATCTTGGAAAATATTTGACTAGTGAAATTAGAGACGCCCTGAGACCTGAAAGAAATATTTTGGCTGACCAGGACATGGTACCTATTCCTCCGCAACGTCCCATGAGGAAGAGATCGTTAAGAAAACAAAAAGAGAGTTCAGTGGAATCGTATGATGTAATGCCACCGATTAGACCAAGGAGGGATCCAAATAGGGCACGTCGAAGCGAATCTGCAGACGACCAATTTCGTGAACGAACTAGAAGCGACTCTAGACACAGGGTGGTTTATCAGACTGAAGGAAAGTCACCGGAACTTCCGCTAGAGCCATTGGATGACATTGTGGTAGTAAAGCCTGCACGTAGGAAGTCTAGATCCTCACAGCGTAGTCAGTCGCAACTTACAATGGAAGTTCCCCGTCCACCATCACCAGTACCACCTGTAGCACCCACTCGACGGAAACGACTATGTAAGGAATTCGAACGGAGGAATGATGAAATGGCGCTTATTTGTAACGGACATACCGATTGGACTGGTGAGTCTGGCCCTGAGAAACCTCTTCCTTTACCTTCTAAGATGTCTACTGACCACTTTGTAGAGCAGGAAGTGTATACAGCTGACGAAATTATGACAGCAAGCGAGGAAAATATTCAGAAACTGGCCACAAGACTTCAGGACGAAGAATACATGGAACCAACTCCTATTCCACCAAAAAGAAGATCTAGATCTAGAGGAACTTCTGTTGCTCTCGATGAAGATAGAACATCCCACGGTGCAGAATCGTTACCTGAAACCGGTTACGAGGAAAAGGATATTCCACGGGACGATGAGGATCTTGGAAGAGAATTATCAGATTATGCGATTATCGAGAAACGAGAGAAACCACCAAGGCCACCACCTCCAAGAAGAAAGAGGGACAAATTTGCTAGTACTCCTAGACCAGTCGCGCCTAAACGTCCTCAAAGAGCCTACAGTACCCTTGGTCCAGGAAGACCCAAGGAAGATAATATATTGACCGATACATATGATGTAACTCTGCAAGCAGCAGAATCTACTCCATACATAGAAATTGACTCTGATGATGGGGAACATAAAGATCTTCATAGCAGCGAAGTCTTAAGTAAAATACAAGGACGACCGCTTCCAGCACCACCCAGGCCACCTAGATCTAGAAAGGATAGATCTCTAGAACGATCTACTATTGAAAGCCAAGAGGAAATCGTTATGGAAACAACTACTGCCACACAGACCGATCCTTTGCCTGATGATGTGGTAATAGAGGAGGAAGTGACTCAGGCGAAGCTGGTTGTGGCGCCATCTAACTTAGGCTCACAAATCATGGTCTCAACAGAAAGAATATCAAGCCCATCAAACATGAGCACACCGCCTGTTCCTCCATTGCCAGTCTCCCAAAGATTACGCAAGGAAGAGCAACCTGAACCCTCTTATGACACTGTATCGTTGAAGTCTCCATCGCCAACTCGAAAAATGGAAGCTTACGGGGATAGACATTTATCTGCACCTCATCTGGGTGAACCAATCCGTGACGAAGAAGTGCATTTAAAGTCCATTCAGTCCGCCCTGTTCTCGGATGAACGTACGAGGATCAGTAATCTAGAGGTTGGAGACTTAAGAGTAAATCGTCTTAGTGTTTCCCAAATTGAAGCTGGTAAAATTATTGCGTCCGAAATAGACGCGTTGGTTATCACTGCATCTGAAATGAAGAACATAGGAGATGGTATGGAGAACAATTTGTCTCCTTCCATTCTTAGAGAGTTGATGGCCATCAGGAGTTACTTGGAAACCGTGGCCGTCTCTAGACTACAAGATCAAACAGAAGAAAGAAAAGCTATCGAAACAGAAATGAAGACAGACATTCCCATAGCAGAGAGACAAAGCATCGAACAAGAATCAGATCAGGGGCTTATTCATCGAGAAGCTGGCGAAGATGAGAAACCAAAGAGCGAGGATCAAAAGGTTGTTAAAAGAGAAGTAACTGAAGCAACGGATATATTAAACACACACACACTATCGGTCGCGCAGGTAGAAGACAAAGAGTTGATACATATACTAACAATCTCGCAACTAGAACCGAGTGACAAAAATACTCCTAGTACACAGTCATTCTCTGACGTTCAGGATACTCAAGATAAGTCCTTACGAATTCTAGATTCAAAAACCCCCTTTTCACTGAGCCTGGGCACTGCTAAGGAGTTCAGCTTGGAAGAATCCCTCGCTGCCCTCCCCCCATCTGTAACAACCGTCATGGAAGAGAGCGCAGAATCAAGGCCATCGCCAGATCGTGTATCCGAAGCTAGCAGCGAATCAGCGGAGCCAATCGCCGATTTAAAACTGCCACGCTCTCATGAATTAGAACGAAAACACAAAGAAACAACATTCGAAATTAGCGAACAGAAGCCTCGAAAATCGAGATCCAGATCACCATCTCCTATAAGTATCTCTCGAACACGACAAACCGCTTCCCCAGTTCGGTCGCTACCACCCGCCATATCTGTGACACCAGACACCCCAGACAGTAACGCGAGTCATGGCACAACCAGCGAGATACAACCGCAACGTGCCGTAATCTCTTATACCGCATACACGGATCAATCAGACAGAGAAAGCCAAAGAGAATCGTCCCAATCACCAATACCCTCTTCCTTTCCAATAGGAGGTACACATCTTATAGCGTTCCCAGCTTCGCAAATTCCGACACAATTCTTTTCCTTGACTAGTCATCGTATCGATACCGAGCCAAATATTGCAGATACTACGAGACAATTGATCAGGGTTCTTCGATTGGCTGGTTTAAAAGCAATGAGGCATTTTGTAAATTATATGATATCCATGGTAGGCGTAGAAGAGTCGAGGGAAAAAATCAGAGAAGTGGAACTAACGCTGTGCGCATTATTACTCCTGATTGCAGGCTTGTTGATATTTTTCTTCAGCAATCCACGAACGATAACGCATCATCATCATTGGGACTACTTTAATCCGCCGAAATAACACAGTACAGTTGATGTAAGAGTCGTCTCCAAGCAGAGCTATATTATATTACGTTCCTTTCGATTGACCGTTGTTAGAAAATAATTTTATATACTTATAATGGGCATTCTATATTTATGAGCGAAGAATAGTGGAAGAAAAGACCTAATACTTGCAGTAGCGTAAAAAATAATAAATAGGTTTATGTATTTAAAACCAGTAAAAATTTGTTCAGGCAGTTGCGTAATTACATCTGTCCTCTGATACATATAGTCGATTGTTATACGTTTGTTACATTTTGAACAAATATGTATGAGTTATAACGGATCATTAATTGATAAATTGAACAGTTTTTATTAGCTAAAAATTCATTTTGTTGACTAATAGGTATAAAAGAAATAATACCTGCACATGGTAAAAGAATACTTAATTGCTAAATGGTGAAGATGTATAAAAACAACGTATATACATACAATCTTACAACATATTTTTTTATCGTCACGAACTCTTCATAAGAAAAGTTTAAATTTCAAGTGTCACCTAAAAGTCAACAATTAACAAAGAATACATAAAAAAATAAAACAAGCTAATGTGTTTTGTACCTTGTTTGACCGTTTGACTAGATACGAATTTATAATAATAATGTGGCATCATAACAGTTAAGGTGCACAATTTGAAAAAAATATTTTTTGATACCTTGCAAATATTAAAGGCTATGTACAATTTTATTTTAAAATAAGATTCCAAATATTATAATCTTATAACAACATACGCTAAGAAAATTAAAAAATATTACATTCACATAAAAAGATCTTCCTCATACACTTTCAGTTCTCTCCTATCTTTGTGTGCACTTTTTTGAGAATAATTTGCTGCTATTGGTGACCACATAGAACTAGATGTAGCATCTGTCATAGGTTCTATTATTGGTTGTCTTCGTGCCAATGATACTTTCAACTGAATGGAAGACACCATACTGCCATCCATTTCACTAATTGCTCTTTCAGCTGCTTCTGTTTTATCAAAAGTAACAAATCCACGACTGAAAAGTAAAGCATTAATACAAATTAAATCCTTTAAATTGGATAAAATATCTTAAACTAATTGTAATTACTTTTTCTCTGCTTCCATTGAAATATTTATAATATTTCCAAATGTCTGAAAATGCTTTTTCAAAAAATCTTCTGAAATTTTATAGCCACATACGAAGATTGTATTTCCAGCTCGTGGCTTCATTTCTTGTTTAGTGGGTGACTGAACATCTCTGCTAGTACGATCCTCAGTATCTTGAGCACTCACAAAACTATCATACAAATCTTTAACCCTTGGTCTTACAGTTTCTGTTTCTTCTTCTTCCATTTGTGTAGCTGAAAATGGTTGATAGGAACTTACTGTCTTTTCTGTACTATTTAATTTTCTGACTAATCCACGTGGTCTTTTAAATGATTGTTCTGGCCGTTTAGGAGTTTTTGGGGCAGTAATTACTCCAGATTTGATCAATTTTTTTGCAACTTCTCTAGCATCTCTAGCTTCTGTTGGTCGTTTTGGTGTTTGTGGTACACGTTCGGTTTCTTGTTTTGGTGCTTTCAAATCTTGTAATGCTTTTTTCTTCAAAAGAAATAGAAATAAAAGAAAATTAAATATGATAACGACGAAAACTAAAAATGTAACCTATAAGTAAAGTAATAATGTTTTATCATAAAATACATTATTTATTATATTTCTACACAAAAACTCAAATAATTTAAGTGAAATTAATTTTAATCGTGAAAATACAGAAAGAGCAATTAATTCATACCATTTAGGATTAAAATAGTTATTATAATACCAAAATATAAACATAACCTATCACATACCTTTCTTTTAAGCTTGTTATACTTCGCTTGCAATATCAATTCCTCCTCTGTTAAATTTGATGGAAAATGTAAGTATACCATATTTTGCATGTAATAAAAGCAAGTATAAATTTCTTCTTCTTTGCACAAAAATTTTAACAGAACATGCGAAGTCGATGTTTACGTTTTACTTCACTATTTAATATATGCTTTTGATGTATATGTGGCGAGTAAAAAAATGAAAATGAGCGAAATGTAATATAATACTGTGAAAGGATATAATATAAAGAATAGACCCTAAAATTATTCTCTACATTCTGTAAAAATATTAAAGTTATTGAATAGTTTTTTAAATATCTCGAAATGTAAGTGATAAATATTTTTTTTCATCAAATAAAATTAAATAATCATTAAAATTAAAAATGGATTAAAAAATGCACAAAAGGCAGCGATTTTTCAATTATTATAACATGTATTACTTAAGAACAAAATGTGACTTTTTATGAAAAATATAAACTTACTTAGAGACATTAAAACACTCAATGATTATTCTCCTATGTAAAGTTTTTTTTGTTAGGTATCATGTGAAATAAGTATATTGATGCAGGATTAAATTATAAAAAATCGGAAATTGGCATTCCATTTAAATCGAATAGGGTACCTATTCGTTTCCAGGAATTGACTTGAGCATTTTCAGATAAAGAAGGAAAAAAGATCTAATGAGAGAAGTAAACTGAATACGATGGTCAAGATCTATTCTTCAATAAGACGTCACAACTAGAAAAATTTTATTTTTCCTAATTTTTATGTTATTTTTGTATAAGTGGTACCAATACGTTTTTGGGATCCTTCCAGTTAATATAAGTGCAAATTCGATATAAATCAAACCAATTTTAATTATAATAATTAACTTGATGTAGGCAGCAAAATGATACTTAATAATGTGACAAAATAGCTCCATTTATATAGTATTTGAATTTGTCTTAATCAAAAAAATTCCAAGCAATTCATTAGTGCTGTTTTTAAAAAGTTAAGATGAAAATTACGGAAAGTAAAATTTTCTTTCCTGCTTATTTACTTTTTTTAGTAGTGGCATCTCTTTGTACTATATTTGTTTCGTTTTACCAATTCTCCCTCTTTATCCACCGTATCAGGTTTCGTTGAGTTTGAAACAGTGAGTGGTGGGAGAAATGTGGGAATGATGCATAGTAATTTAAATGATTGTATTGTAATTTAACGGAGCATTACTGTAAAATATAAATAAAAGAAAATAACTAGTTTCTACGTAATATTTATTCAGTCCATTTCAAACGAATCACGCAAAAAGCATATTAGAAATTAATGAATGTAACAATCGCCAAAGACAAGAGGAGACACCAGTAAATTCAAACAACAAAATTCAGTCACTTCGGTATTCAATTATTAATAATTATAAACATAATTTGTTTTGTAATCGTAGTGTATGATACAAAGAATAATATTTAATTGTCGATGGTGAAGAGTTCGATAAAAACTACAATCATAAGGTATAAATCCGCGCTACAATTTCAACGTTAATTTATTCGCAAAGAGAATACAATACGATTTTTAACGTCATTTGTATTTTTATACTAACATAAATATGTGTAAATATTTTAATTTTAAACAATCGTCAAAAGACAGCAAAATACTCACGTCCAATTCAAATATATAAGATACCTAAGATAGTAGGTACACGCAAATGTCAAAAAAGTTAGTGAAATATTAAATACCCTACAAATATAATAACGAAGAAATATTTTGTTCAAGAAGAAAGTTTTAAAAATATTTAATAACACTCAATTACCCAAACGAAAAATTTCGAATTCATGAAATAATTAGTAATGCTTACAGTTTTATAAATCTTTTGTTAAATTAATACAAATAAATATAAAAATATTAGTTTAGGATTACAGAGTGCTTAAGTTTTAAATCTCGGTAATTTGTAAATTTTTTATTTATTATTCGCATATACCCACTATTATGCACAAAGGATAGTATTCCAATATTTGGTAATTACAAAAACAATCGTTAAATAATATCAAAGCCTAGCTCGTCAAAATATAAATGAGAATAGGTGTAAAACGATACAAAAAAAAAAAAGAAAAAAAAACTAAATTTGTTAAAAGTGATAATGACAAATAAGTAATCAATGATTAAACAGCAAACTAGAAAACTACCAAGGATAATTTTTGGTTCGAAGTTAGTTATTTTCCCATGTGTTTAAAATTTGTATGCATGACAACATACAAATGAACTAATTTTTATCACTTTTTTCTTTTCTTTTTTTAACAATATTATATACAATTAACTCATAAATAAAAATATGATAGTTATGATTTAGTGTTTATAGTGAAATGCTAATTTTTGTTAAATCTAATAAGTCAAAACACAATTAATAAGAATGTGATACATAATTTTTTCAATTGTCACAATGATATGCATCAACAAGATTTTTACAGCATCAACTTGCAACTTTTGTATTTTTTTTTTTACTGTATATAAACATCTAGATTGTCGTGTTTATAATAAGTATAATCATACATGAATAATTTGAACTAGGCTTTCACATAACAAATATACCATAAATATAAATTACAACTATATATTGAAAATTATGAGAGCATTGTAAATTATTGTACAACAACCGATACCAGTACTTTAAAAATAATATATATCTTATAAACTCCCTTTTTATTTAATGAATTTTCAATGTCTCTATCGATTGTTGATTATTAATTCAATGCACTCGTTTTGTATGATGAAACAATTGCAAGGAAATAATAAATCACGAATAATCTATCAAAACGTTCTAATAATGATAGGGATTAACAACAACCTTGTATTTAACCCTTTCAGCACCAAAATTTCTAACAGTGTGGAATTAGCAAAAAATGCCAAGTTAAACTGCTGATAAATGCAAAAGAGATGCTGTGCTACATGTATGCATTGCATTATTGTACATTTTAATACAAAACATATTTTTATATGTGTATTCTGATTACTGATGTGCGGTGATATTGATATGAAGAAAGATATCAACATTTGATTCACAAGTTTTATTATTTAAAGCATTGGTCTACAAAATGTAAATTTGGTGGTCTTCCTTCAAGAATTTCTTTATTTTCATTATATTGAAAACTTGGTTTGTAGGTAATAGCAGCAATGCCAAAAAGTGGCTAGATGTATTTTTTTGGTTTTTTGAGAAGTACAGATATTTTTGTACCAACAACATGTAATGAATGATAAACATACATAATTAAATAAATTAAATTAGACTGTATAGGATGCCAAAATGGATCTGTATATTCATATTGATAAAACTTCCCATAATTTGATAGTAGTAGCTCGATGTCTATATGTAAACGATAAGTATTAGTTAAAAATTATAACATAAAATATAAAATCATATTATCAATTATCAATACATTTCATACAATAGATATATGATGCACTCAAAATGATAGAGAGCACAATGTGTTGTGTTAAAGTAGTAATTAAATTTAAACAAATCTAAAAAAGCTACTACTGCCAAATTAAATAATTAAACTCAGAACTTATGATACTATATTTTAAGAATGCAATTTAATCTATACTGGCATTAAAAGGGTTAATTATTGTTGTGTCAGATAAATGTTTTTTTTTTTCTTCTATCAACAAAGTAATATACTCTGTGCTGCATTTTGACATTAAAAATATTTAACATTTTAAACAAGGTAATGAGCTAAAACGTTTTGATACAGATATGTGAAGATATAAAAAATCTTAGGGTTAAGAAATGTATCAAGGAATTTGTGAAAATAATGTAGCTGCAGGAACTCCAAATATATATACGTTAGTTATACACACGCGTATCATAAGAAGTCCATAGTTTAAATTCGGATTATCACCAAGCAATTCAATTTCTTTCCCCTTCTTTCCTATAATTCACTGCTATTTAGCACTTTCATTATTTTCAACAGTATTTGTGCTCTTGAATGAGATTCTATAACTCAGAAATCCATATGTTATTGGGAGTTTTATAATCCTTATGGTTTCGAACCACATTAAAATCAAACGAGATAATCGAAATCTAAAATCACTCGGTAACGTATAACATTTTATAAGCTTGAAGAATTTTATAAATCCGATTAGTTCTAAAAGCCGAAAGGCCTTAGAAACGCGGAAGCTTTGAAATATTGAAGACTTACTGAAGCACAGACTATTTTGTAATTGTTGAGTACTTGATTCCACAAATACCTGACACGATGTAATCACTTTGTACGCAAACGTTTCATGTTCCCACACATGCCTATTTAACAATTGTTTTTCAGAGTACGTATGTTCAATGGAGGATCATTCATCATCCAAATATATTCTAAGCGCTTTCTCTTTGCGCGCATTGTAACGTGACGCGGAGGAAAGTGGTAATAAAAGGGGTACTTCTTGAATTGCGATTTCATTGGACCCTTCTCTCGTTAATTGTTTCGAATCTTCCCTGATATCTCTATAAAACAAAATTTATAAATCAGTTATTTTAACAACTCGCTTTAATTTCTTAATACATACCTATACCAGAATACAGCACCATCTTCAATGATAAGTTCAGCACCACTTGATAACCCAATCCAATCTTGATCATTTTCAATGTGTGTAGATATATGTGTTAAAACTTTTCCTCTTATTATATTTATATATTTTTCAGGTATATCCGATAATAAAGACAACTAAATAAGAATTTAATATAATTATTATCTTATTAATCCTTTGTAATAAATAAATTTACAATAATTAGAGTACACTTACTTTTTTCACCATTTCTTCCACAGTAGTTTCATCCAAAACGATTTCTTGAAGGGGTCCAAGATGAACTTTTGTAGCAAACCAGCGTCGAACAAATATAATGACTTGATTACTATTGGTAACTGGGTCCTTATCAGGTAACTCTTGTACAACCATTCCAAATTGCGAGTAAAATTGAAAATCTTTGAACTTTTGATGATCTAAAAGTACTTTTGAAGCTAACACAAAGTACCTTTCCCTTAATCGACACCTTTCATATGGAATATCGATATTGCATTTTCTTTTCATTTCTGCCAATATTTCTTTCTTTACTTGACCAACAGTCATGTCTTCTGACACAATCCAGTCAAATAAAAATAGGAACTGGAAAAACATGAAGAGCCTACTTTATTACATACGATGAAAAAAGAAAAAAATATTAAACGTATATAAAAGAATTCTGATAATCTGTAAATACCTCAGACGAATCAAGGAAAAACTGATGCAATTTTACTGTAAATTCACCATTACGTAAAGCCCGTCCAATCTCTATCCAAAGTTTTTCACCATCTTCAAATTGACTAAGTACACGGCTACATTCTGATTCAATGCAATCATCAAAGCAACGACAAATTTTAAAATAATCGGCGGGTACACCAACATAGGGTTCTAAATTTTTCTTTAAAGTATTGAATATCATCCTTTTGTCTACTAATACTTTCAAAACTGCGGTCAAAGCAATCATTATTAAATACTTTTGTATAAATAGTATTAAATATTTCAAGAAATATATATCAAGAAACATAAGAAAATTAAATATTTCAAGAAACAAATTAATATACATACACTTTTCATTGAGATTCGTATACGGAGTGGCTTTAAAATAATATTCCGAATCGTCAATAATATTGTCCCAGTTTTCGAGTCCACCCTGATTTAACATTTTAATAGCTCGGTTACTCGTACTCGATGGAAGATAAGGTAACTGAAAGTCATTGTCTCCTGAAGCATCACCAACTAAAGTTTTATCACTATCACTGAGACTACTATCTTCGCTATTACTTTGTTCAGGAGTATGCCATTCTTCGCCCTCTGCTAATTGTGGACTTAAATTTCTTACTGGAGTATCTTCAACAAGTTTCCCACTTTTTAAAGTCTCATTACATTTTGTACCAGAATCTCTGTGTAATTCAGTAACACCTGCTTTGGATGGACTATCAGTCACAGGTTTTTCTTTATCTTTACATACTTCTTCTAATGTTGGAATATTTAATTCTTCTAACATTTCTGCATTCGACAAAATGTAACATTATGTAATATAATTTTGAAAATATCATATTAATTTCATTAAAAATAATATGTTTATCTCTTACCTTTACTTGAATTAAGAGGTAACCTTATACGTAATGTTAGAATATTTTCCAACTGTTCAGCAATTTTACATATTACTGCCTCAAGGTAAAATTTATTACATTCAGCATCACACATTGTACAGACGACCACTTTAACAAAATTACAAAAATCTGCAATCGCTAGTATAGCGTCGTCATTCTGTACGAATATTGTTTCTGTTCCATGTTTTCGTAAAACTATTTTCATATCATCTGGATCCATATTAATAAATTTTCCTACCACTTGTTTATATTCTCTTACTGTTTGTGTAAATAAACCACGTACATTTATTGGTCCTTCGATAAGTTTTTTCCTGGCTACATCGACGACGTATACTTTTGTTATGACAGCTACCAATTAACAGAAAAAAATTTCTTTTAATTACAAACATAAATATATATATATGAGTAAGTAGATAGATACATACCACCTCGTAGATGTGGCTCGAATTTTTGATCTTCATCACGTATTTCTAACAATAAACTATATCGACTCACCACTCGATTACCCCAAATACTTGCAAATGTTTCATGTTCTTTACCTTCATAGCTAGCCACAATTAAATCATTGTTGTGATCATAAGCAACTAAACGACATTGATTTAAGCTCACTATTCCTTCTAAGCAGTACTTCTTATAAACCTGCTGTGTCAGTTGAGCCAAAGTGTCATGATTTGTAAAAGAAATTTTGGAATTCATCTTTCTACCTTCAGTAGGATGTTGACAAAATACTCTCACATTAGATATAAACAATTCTTTTTCTTTTTCACGAATCTTTTTCTTTCTGTCATTATCTTCATTTTCTTTCATTTTTTTTAATAATTCCTGGAATAGGATAGTATAAGAAGTTCCAAAACGAGAAAAAAAAAAAAATATTATAATAATATCGTGAAATATTATGTTTCACCTGTATATGTTTTGGAAAATCCTGCACTTGCATAGGTAAAGAATTACGAATAGGATCAATTTGTCTATACATGAGCATGTATGCATTAGTACTAGTATTAGCTCCACTAAAATATGACCTGGTTGAACCACCACCATATGTTTTCTGAATATCATCATGAGTTATCTACAATCAATAAGATTATAAATTTATAGCAATGTTACCATATGTTTAAATACTATATTTTTTCTTAAACAATAATAAACTTAAAATATTCTTAAACACCTGTGTTACACTTTGATCATTGAAACAAAACCATTCTTGTGTTCTAAAATCTTTTATATAAGCATAGTAATGTCCACCACTAGCACTACCACTATGAATCATAATCGAAAACAATTCGTAATTATAAGGTCCTGTTGTTGTATTAGTACTACGATTCTTCTCATTTTCATGATTATGCATAGTAGAATTTGATGTTGAAGGCCCATTACTCATATCTATACCTAAAAAAATTATATAAATAAATAATGAAACTATGAAATACATATAATTTGTGAAATTAATGTACCTTCATCATCATCTTGATCATGACTTGTTGAGTGATTACTATTAGGAAGACTGTTTTCACAAGGAGGACAATCATCATCTAATGTACCACTATCTGTTATAGAATTATCGTCGCATTTCGCTAAACCAATATTTTCATCAGTACTTGGAGATTCTTGATTTGGCATAGAAGCAATAAAAGGATTTAAATTTAATATATCTGGAAAAGTAACCCTAAAATTAAAAGTTTAGTATGAAGGCATAAGATGAATAAAAAAAAATACTGACAAAGTAAATTTATGCACACTCACTTGTCATTAAGTTTAATTCTATGGAAGGTTTTGAAATCGAAATCGAATCGTTTCAGATGAAATGTCATAAGATAGGGAAATTTTGTAAATTTTAATCCCTTATGAGCATCGCATTTTTTATTACACTTTTCACAATGATATTGATTACTTCCTTCTAAAATTTCATATTGAACAAATGCTCTTAAAGCTTCTTCCTATTACCAATAAATATTTATATGAATTTGATTTATACATTAAAATATAACATTACATAAACTTACCACGCTGGTATATGCCACACTGCTACCAAATGGTCTCACTGGCAATGGTATATCAAGAAAGGTATCTTCCCTAGATTTTTCAGTACCACATTCAAGACATTTAACATAGTCAATCATCTTTCCTAACAATATAAAAATCAAATTACAAACACCTTTCTAATATTCATACATACTTTCGATATATATACCTTCATAAAATCTATTTATCAAATCAGCTTGTTCTGTATTTTTAAATTTCTGTTCTAAAGCATCAAACATAACTCTACAAAGTTCTTGAATATCATGTTGTTGCCAAGCTTCTGTAGAATCCCAACCAAAACTTTTTGTTAATGCTGTAGTTTCCACTGCTGATTTTGTTGATGTCTATAAACATAAAAAATACTTATTTAAATACTTTTTTAACATTATAAATAATTATAAATTTTTACAATCGTATATTTGTAGTTTATGTGAACATTTATAAATATCATCAATACCTGTAAATTTAAAAATAACTTTTGTAGTTGGTATGGAATACTATTAGCTTCATCCTTCTCTGATCCATCTATGTATTCCCAATTGTACAATGCATTTCGAAACTCAGGAGTCATATATAATGCTTGCAATAGACTATTTAAATAACATGTCATTGCTTGATTGACCAAACCAACATAGCCTAGGAAAACATATTACAAAAAGTTAATAATAATGTAAATTGAAGTATTAAAACTTATACTAAATTATAATATAAAAAAGAATAATATACATATTACATACATGTCTCAGATTTAATACGATATTTAAAATCAAGATTATTATCTTCACCCCATACTGATGAATGATTAGGAGAGGGTGGCGGAGAATTATATGGAAACCAATGATGACGTCCCACTGGATTCACCGTAAGTGAAATAATCGTTGGATCCATAACTAATAATGTGTGCTTGTGTTCAATTGAAGATTCTCGATTAAAAGAAAAATCCACACCAACTTCTAACATTGTTTTATCTTTCTTTTCAGATAAATCAATCTAATAAGAATAAAACAACTTTAACTTGTACATGAATAAACCAGTAAATTATTGATAAGCAATTATATTAACAATAAAACAAAAAGAAATAATAACTACTAACCAGTTTTCCATCTGATATTAAATATAATTTAAAACTGTCTGGTTGTATCTGATAATGCTCTGCAATATAAAGATAAAGATCCTCACCACTGGTAAATTCATGTAATAGAACTTTGTCAGTATTACAGATCTTATTTCCAACTGTAGACAGGTTGCACTGAATCAAACATATTTGACCAGCTTTACAAACCATGGTCTGTAATAAAAAATGAAACAGAATATATAATATTTGAATCAAATATCTACTTAATACTAATATTTAATAAAAATCAGTTAAAATACAATGTAATAACTCAAACACATCCTATAAAAATTATGTAATTTAATATTATTTGAGCTTACACAACTTTAATTACTACCTACTTCTTAAGAAAGTATATTATTTTTTAACAAATATACATTGAATAAAGCACTTTGATATTGGTATGAAAATACTAAAATTCTAGTAAATTATTTATTTTTTACTTGTATTATTCTTAAAATATATCAAAATCATCAATCAATGAAAAAAGACTAATAATTATTACCATAAATGAATAAAAAATAAAGAGAAATCACTTTTAATTAACAAGTATAATATTTAGAAATATTGTTACAAACTGATCAGTAAATTTCAGACATATAAAATTGGCATTATGCCATACTAAAGGTAGAAAATGAGCGAGATCTACGCAACACAGTAAGATACTACTCTGCACAGTATGACACAGTAAGGAAAGCCTATAGAGCCTCCAGTTATATTTAGAATGTCTAAACGAAGACTTGGAAAATGGCTCTCTTCTCCGACAGAATTCCCCCCTCCTTTCTTCTTTCTTTCTCACTCTATTGCCATTTCCCTATTCTATATTTTTTGTTGTATAACTGCTAAATAAATGAAAGTGAGTTTATATTAAACAAAGTTGAAAAACTAAACTTAATTTACTAATAAAAAAAATTATGAAACTGAAATTGTATATTTTTTCTTAGTACAATAAGATATAAAAAACAGTCTATCTCATAAATATTCAGTACATTACTTTTAATACTTACTAGCAATATATATACGTTAGAGTCTAGTCCACGTATACCTCTTTATTGTTTCAATCTAAAAGATTCCAAGAAAATATAAAATTACAATTAACATTAATAAAATCACATAATTTTAAAATACAAGAAACTAACACTTTTAAATTGTAATGGTATATTGTATTAAATTATATTTCACCTATTACTACAGTCTTTGAAAGTAGCAATAAAAGTCATTTCTTTTTACATTTTTTATAAACACAGACAAGATGACCATTCTTTCATTTTATTTAAACAAACATGAATGTTCGTAAATCATTAATTGCAAATTTAAAGTCCGAATGTTGCTACTGACTTACACAAATAACGTATTAAATGTTGTTGTAACAGAACTTTCTTAATAAAAACAACACATACTATAAACAAGTCACAAAACGAAGAATCCACAAAATACAAGCACAGATAGATTTTCACTTTTACTGCTGACTGTTACAAGATTGAAAACGAAGAACGTATAGCGTGGTTCAAAATGTTTATGCGATGAAAAAGCGATTGGCTAGACAAACGAAAATTGAGTGCATAACACTCAGAAGATCGGAATGCGCTCTCGTGCCAGTACAACCGAGTTAGAACGAAGCGTTTCATTTCACGACGATCAACGAAATGTTGCTCGGTGATACATACAACTCTTGGACGATATTAGTAGCCTAATGAAAACGGAAACATTCAATTGATGCCACGCCAGTTTGTTAACCCGACACTAACAAGAATAAACGTAACGAAGGTCTTATGAAATGGCTGGCCAAATTTCATCCTGTTGGAGCTCACGTTTTAAAAGATTTACACTTGAATGATTCGCTTTTGAATTCGTTAATTATTCTAGGTTCTTTTATCACATGAATTCTAATCAGTGTACTTTTCTCGTACGTCAATATAGAAATTTTCGGTATAATACTTGACTTCTTACCGAAATCACTGAGAGACATGTGTAACGTTCACTTTACGCCATATTATCTACACAACGCAGTTTAGTGCTGCCATATAGTAATGCCAATCAAAAGTAACAAGCATGAAGAAGATTTAATATAGACTAAACACCCAATGTATTATTATGTTACTTGATTTGTAAAATTTGTAACCCTTTTAATATTTTTGTAGTACTTTTCATGTCATTGGTTTAGCATAGAATAAAGTTACAATGTTTTTAGCAACAGAAATTAAAATCTAATGTGAAAATAACATGTTTCAAAACTCAAGTTTAAAATATGAATATAATTAAAAGTAATTTTATAAGATCATACACATTTAAACTGTGTTAAAATGAACATAATTTGCTACACTTGTGAAAGATTGTAAATCGTAATATAATATTTTAGAATTCTATTTAAACTAATAATTCTTTACATTATTACCTTATTTATAAATTTAAATAATACATAGTTTTCTGGATTTTACACAAAGTTTACGTATATTATGATATTTTACAATAACTTACATATTTTTTGAAAATAAATTGATATTAAAAATAAATTGAAATTAAAATTTAGTTTTTCTTCATTTATTGCAATGTAAAATATGCTACTTACACTATGTTTAAAATTATTTAAATTTAAAGATGTGTTTGCACACACAAACGATACTAACATATTCACACAGAAATGGATACAAATTTTACACGCCAACTTAATTTACTTTGAACTGTCTTTTAATACCAATAATTTATTTTATATTTTTAATATTTAAAAAGAATTTGAAATCCAGGATTAATCACAAAAATTTTGAATCTAGTGCATATCTTTTAGTACTGCCTTCCAAAAAGTAATTTTTTGGATACATCAATTAACGAAACCTATGCCACAAGATAGTCATTATACAAAAATTTCTCATCATTTTATAATGTCCATTTAAAAGTGTCTATTAAAATAAATTTCATTACAAAAATTTCAGTTTTAGTTGAATATGAACGCAAATTTAAAATTCTATAATTTCTATAAAATGTTTTAAAGTTCTAAAATATGAAAAAAATATTCAAATAATTCAATCATTATTTATTGACATCAACATAAATATTTAATTGTGATAATTAGAAAATATTTTAAAAACGAAGTTACTGGTATTAGTTTCAATAGTTTTTGGAACGTATATGGAATTGTTGCGCGACTGTAGCGCTACTTTTATTGTAGCAACATCAGTGCGTACCAGTCTATGATATATCTGCGATGGTGTACAAGTCGCCATAGAACTCATAAAATTATTTGAAGTACTCGATGAATTTCGGGTGAGTTAACTAGTTAATTTTTGTCGATGTACCCGTAATTAAAACTAGTGTTTAATGTTTTATTTAAAAGTTCAAGTGATATTTACAAAAAGTCTTTCTCAGACATTGTTCCAAATGACCTTTTTATGAATATTATAGGATCAAACCGACAATTTTTTTTTATACATACAAAATGAAATATTCATTGATAATCTAGAAATATTATATACGAATTTCTTCTTTGAATGACTACAAGATTATATTATCAAATATTATTTTTATCTGGAATTATAACATTAGAATTAATATGCCGATTTACGAAATTGACAGTTCATGATAGTTGAAGTTAAATTGGTCTTTACTTTTTTTGTATTCAATAAATTGAATATCTCAATATAATGTTTTTGTATTGCAGGTATTCCAAAATTTTTTTTGCTTCCAATGAAGCCCGTTTTATGTAACAAATGACAGATGGATGAAACTGAGTTTTATAAATTCACTTCTACTTCCACTATATGATCAGACAATCAAGATAAGTATCATTTGTCTGGAATACTAACTACAATCAAGATGAACATTAACTCAATAGCTGATCTGTTTAATTTATTGGAATCTAACAAATTGGGGGAGGTAGAAGAAATAAAAAAAGTATTCCATGAACTTTTTTTATATAGTAAGTAAGGTTATGGATTTAAAAGTATAAAGTATGTACTAATATTTTTGTTTTAATAATGTTTAATATTTTTTAGCAAAAGACAATTGGCTGGTAAATGGACTTTTTGATTATTATCTGTCTACAAATTCCTTGAGAACTGTTGAAGTACTAGCTGGTATTCGTGATCCACATGATAAATATCTCTTAGATCGTTTGTCAGAAGCTCTTTCTAAAACTGGAAGTAACAGCCAAAGAATTCAGACCCTTACTTTGTTAGGTCACATTGCCCGTCGTCAACCAACTTGGTTGTACAAACTTGCCAGTCATACTTTATTTCGGGATTTACTTAAGTTACTTAAGGTAGAATTAAATTTTAACAAAATAAAAGTTAAGTTTGATAAATAACAGTTAATTAATTTAATTTTACAAATATCTTGATTTTAGGTGGAAGCAGATACATTATCTCTTATGAGTGCACTTCTGCTCTTGGTAATGTTATTACCAATATTACCTGCTGCTTTAGGGCCATACCTCTCAGAAATCTTTGAAGTGTTTGGTCGATTGGCCTCTTATTATCATCATCAGTCATTATCTGTATTTTCATCTCCAATGCATTTTACTTCAACAACAATGACAGGGACAATAGATAAAAATCATTTATATTTATTACATCTGCAAGTAAGTATTGATATATGTATGTATAAAAGTGAAAAAGGATAATTGTTATCTTTTGTATTTCTTATAGGTGGGACTATATAGCTTATTCCACAGATTATATGCTATGTACCCTTGCAACTTTATTTCATATTTGAAACAACAATATATTCAACGAGATCAATTGGCCACTTTTACTCATACAATTAGACCAATGTTAGATTCAGTGCGTATGCACCCATTACTTGTTACTGCATCTAAAGATACAGAGATTTCTGCTGCCAGGTATACTTTGAATAACAAAATGTAAAAATGAGAACATAGCCAAACATAGCCTGGCTCAACCTAACGAGCAGAGACCGCTGCTGTTTCGCCCCCCCCCCCCCCCCCCCCCCCCCCCCGCACACACACACATATATAATATCGTCTGATTTATTATTTTTTAGATGGAAGAAAATGGAACATCATGATGTTATGGCAGAATGCGGCCGTTTTACATTGGATAAATGTCGAGAAGAAGTATTTCATACTACAAATTCACGCTCAACGCCACCTTTAGGTTTGTAAGTTTTACAATAAAATATTATATAAGTAGGAATATAGTTATACTAGCAATCTATTTTCTAGATTACTCTTCTGTGTGTACTCCAATAAACATTAGGGGAGGAATAGCATCATCAGAAATCAGTAATAGTGAAGATGATACATTTTGGTCACCGAGTATGGCAGTACCACCACATAGTCCTCAGTTTCCAGTCACATCTCATGAACAACGATCTGCTCCTTCAACACCTAATAACAACAGAAGTGGTACTTCACCCCCAGAAGCAGCAGTTGAAGCCACTCCTGAAACAACGCCAGTTAAGGTATGTTTAAGCATTTCCAAAATTAAGAAAAGTTAATTAAAATAATGCTTAAAATTTTATATATAGGATTTAAGAAAGTTATCAACAAGGCAAATACCTACTGGTTCTGCTGCAGTTCGTGCTCTTACTGCATTTGGTAATGGTACAATAGGACCAAGTTCGCGACCATCTACACCGATCCCCTTAAATCCGTCTGTATCTGGTTCCATAATTGGAAGTGGAGATGCAAATAATGCACATGGATTTTTTTCGCACAAGTTAACTAAAATTATCACAGATAGACAAACTGTCACCCAACAAAAGTCACTCGTCACCACAGATGAAGATGGAAGATTTTCTGAAATAGACATGCATCAAAATGGAAAAAACGATTCTTGGCAAGAAGATCAAGAGGTTCTGTGTTTTATGTACTTTTGTATATAAAAATATCATATATTAACAAATATCAGTTGACTTGTTTCTATAGTATTGTGTTGTATAGGTTTTAGAAATTGTAAGCTCTCAAACTGCTGAAAAATACGAAAGTTCAAAAGACGTTGAACAACAAGAACATCAGCATGAAAAAATACAACATACTTTTGCAGATTTATCTCAAAAAGTTTATCAGTTACGTTTATGTTCACAAAGTCAAGTTTCAACGCAACATTTGGATTTGAACTCTCTTTACAAAGTAAGAATAATATGTATTCGGTAACTATTATGAAAAAAAAAGAAAAAAAAAATCGGAATTTCAACAAGATAGAAATCTATGTACATTTACAGATTCGAAAAAGCAAATCTTGCCCTGATATAAAAATTCCAAAACAAATTGGTAATGGCAAAACAGACCCATTAAAAATAATAGGGACAAAAAAATTAGAAGAAACAGGAACACAAACATTTAACTTGCTTCCATATGAATATTTATTGCTAGGAATTTTGGATCAAAAAAGTCAAATGAATATGCAAAGACGTTCCGTACAAGATACCGAATTTAGAGTGTCACCAACTACAATGCTTGATCAATATGTTGAAGCTTGCACTCATTCTGGTGACAAAATGAGTTAGTACAAAATAAAACTCAGTAACAAATCTTATTTCAAATTAATAGAAATTTGAGTAAAGTATCTTTTTTCGAAGGGACTAACGCAATTAAACAGAAACAAAGAAAAGAAAATGATGTAGAAGATGAAGTAGGAGAAGAAGATACTTTTGATGTCGAATGTGCGAGTCAGTTGTTACAGCTTATGCAAATGCAACTACAGTTCGAACGACAGCGTAGAGAAGTTCACGCTGAACGTAATCGAAGGCTTCTTGGCAAATTGAGGGATTCGCGTGCGTTAGAAGAACATAATTATGCTTTGGTCAGTTACTCGAAATAAAATTTGGTGGCATTTCTAATTTTAGTTATTGTTAAATACAAAATTCTTGTCACATAGACTGATCGTTTGAAACTCATGGAAAAAGAAGTAGAGGGCTTAAAAACTGAATTAGAACGTAACAAGAGAGAAACTTGTCAAGCTGAAGACCAATACAAAGAAACATTGCATCACTGGCAAGCTAAGGTAATATCAAAAAAAATTTTATTGATTGTATTGTTAATAAAAATCTATAGTAACACTATTAATAACATACAGTGTGTAGAAGAACAACGACAGAACCAGATACTGAAGGATCGTCTCGAATCTGTTAAACTTGAATTAAAGAGTGAACAAAAAAAAGTTATAGATTGTGAGCAGCGAATTCGTTCCACAGAGGCTTCTCTATTCGATGCAGGTCATCAACTAAGAGTAGCTTTAAAAGCTGCAAATCGTAGTAAAGAATTAGAATGTACTCTTGATACTGTACAGAAAAAATTCCTTCTACTTGGAGAGGTAATATTTAAAAAATTTAAGTATATTCTTCATGATATATCAAATTAATTTCTGTATACCCATAGGCACAAGCTAAATTGCAAGAAAGTACTGGTGGTCTTTCACCAATGACTAAACAAGAAGTAACACAAATGCAGAAGTCATATGCAGAAGAATTAACTAGTAAATAAATTTCAATTACTTAAGAACAATTATAAAAATATATGTATATATATATATATATATATATATAT